GACAAGGCTTGCGATTTCAATGGTGTCGCCAAGACCAAGAAGTCTACTGCCGCCTCTGGCTCCTGCGCTACTCAGATGAAGGCTGCTGGCTCTGCTGGTACTGGTGCTGTCGATGGTGGTCTTGCTGCTAGCACTGGTGCTGGTGCTGGTGCTTCTGGCTCTGGTGGTGGTGCTACCTCGTCTGGTATTGCTGCTGGTACTGTTCCCCAGGCTGTGCACATTGGTGTCTGGCAGGCGGGTGCTTACGCAGTCGCTGCTATTGCCTCTGGTGTCTTCATGATCATGCTGTAAACTTGAATTGTTTGCGTGTTCATGATTTAGACTGAGTTTTGTTTTTATGTGACCCCCTATCCAGTGAGTTGGATTGGTGCGGCGTTTTTTGTAACATTGTTTATACTCCTATCTTCAAACTACTAGCGGGTGTTTCTATTATCCCAGATATTTCCAAATCTCCTGATGTCATACAAATCAGTAGTTCTAGGTATGGATCTTCCAAGGCCGGACTGAAATGATAACTAGCGACTTCTTGATTGGCCATGGATTTCATGTTGTCATTAAGCCATCTTGATAGCCTAAGGAACACAATCATTGGCTTGAAAATTTCTTCAATGTGTCTTGGGCAACACTTTCCTTTTTGCGCTCTTTGTAAAACCGCGCACGTTCATGAAGAGAAGGTCGCCCCCGGGGCAAGTTTTTTACTCCACTTTGCGTTGTAAGCTTGGAAAGTTGCTCCCGATATTTTATAGATGCAATAATTAAGATTCGCATTGGTCTATCCTAATAGACCACCGTATATCCCCCGGCCCACAAAATGTGCGGCTTTTTCCAAAACTCATCCAGAAAACACATCCCAAATCCGCCAGGTCTCTCCAAAGAGCGAGATCCATTCCAATATACAAGTACATACACAGCGAGGTAATTTTATCCACCCTCTATATGTGTTTTTCTCCTGGGTATAATCACCCCTCAAGAAACATGCAAAAAAATATGTAAAACAACGCTCGCAGACGCAAGTGTAACTTTTTCGCCAAAAATAGATAGCGCTTAGTCAACGTCGTTTCGGTCCTCCTTTGAATCTGGGAAGTACTCGTCGAGTGTGGCCAAGACGCCCTTCTCGGAAATGTCTTTCATGGCCTGTGTCATCTCGGCGATGAACCTCTTGTCTGTGCGCAAGTCGTCACCGAATAGGTTCTTAATTTGCAGAAGTCCTAGAGGACCGCCAGGGTCGGCCTTTGCCGCAGCCCGAAGCTCATCAAGCATGGGGTCATTGACATTGAAAGGAACCTTCTTGTCATCGACGCCCCTGATATAAGTGAACCAAGCCGCGGCGACAAAGCACAGGCGGCGGAAAGGATATTCACGCTTATCTGCATTGGACTTCATGATCACCTCGGCGATCGACGGCATGATGAACTGTGGGATCTTGCCGGAGGCATTGAGGCAGATGCGGGGGAGCTGATCCTGAATTGTCGAGTTGGAGAAACGCTTCATGAGCGTTTTGCAATACTCGTCGATATCGACGCCGGGGATTTGAGGTAAGAGAGGCTTCACCTCCTCTTGCATCATCTCCCACACCAACTTGCGCATCTTTGCGTTCTGCATGACTTCATGAACGTATTTAAAGCCCGCCAATTGACCTGGGTAGCCAATGGCCGAGTGACTGCCGTTGAGAAGACGGAGCTTGTGCATTTCAAACTGCTCAACGTCGTGGACGTTATTAACAACCTGAACACCAACCTTCTCAAATGGTGGGCGGCCGTCGGAGAACTGATCTTCGATAACCCATTGCATAAAAGGCTCCGTAACAACAGGCCATGAGTCCTCGATGCCAAAGTTTTTATTCAGTGCCTCTTTATCGACGTTCTCGGTCTGAGGTGTGATGCGGTCCACCATGGCATTAGGGAAGGCGCCCTTCTCAGCAATCCATTCCGCAACCTCAGGGTTGCGCATGCGCGCAAACGACTCGAGCATGTGGCGTGTGATGGAGCCGTTCTTCTGCATGTTATCGCACGACATGACGGTGAAGGGATTGAGTCCCTGTCTGTGGCGGCGTGCCAGGGCAGCGTAGAGGAAACCGAAGGTTGTGCGCGGTGCGTTCTCGTTGGAGGCGGTGGCATCGTACTTGATATCGGGGTGTTCGCTTTGCAGCTCGTGTGTGTTCTCGTTGTAGTAGTAGCCGCTTTCAGTGATGGTGAGCGACACAATATGGGTATCAGGATGGGCCATCTTGGCGATGACAGCTTCGCGGTTGTCGGGGGCATAAAGGTAGGAATTAATGCATCCGACAACATGGGCGAAGCTTCCCTTGTCAGAGCGCTCCATGACAGTGTAGAGGTGGTCCTGCTCTCTCAGAATATCACGCATAGCAGAATCGAAGGGTTGTAAGCCAACGCCGCAAATTGCGAAATTCTTCACGCCATGCTTCTCCATTAATTGGTCGACGTAGACGGCCAGATGGGCTCTGTGGAAACCGCCTACGCCAATGTGAACAATTCCCTCTTTGACGGTGCCGGCATTGCGTGCACGATGGGTTGGTATTTGAATCTTCCCACGGCCTGCCTTCCCAATCAAGTCCAGGTTCTTCGTGTTGAGCCTTAGGGCTGCCATTGTGATTGGGGGTATTGAAAGAAAAGCTTGAGAAAGAAAAAAAAATGAAAGGTTTGCAGCTAAATCAACGAGTTTGCGAGGGTCACCGCTGGTTTTGACCGCTGATCAGCCAGGGCGAATATTACATCATGTGGACTCAAACCGCCACCCCTGAAGGTGTCCACCTTCCTGTGACTGCAAAGAGCCATATGGAATAATCCTTTGGAATCTGATTAGTTTGTTTTGGTGGAGATTAGCTCAACCAGTCCGCTCGCAGCCTTGGAAAGCTGTGGTTCTAATAATACAAGCACCCTTGCGTCAGAGCTGTCCGCTTCCGATCTCGGGGGCCGAGAGCATTCTTTTTCCCGATGCATTGGCCCCTTTCGGGATTTTTGTTTTGGTTTCGGGTCTTTTTCTCAACAAGACAAGACATGGCATGGGGTTTCCTTGGGGGGAATCAAAGGTCAGCTGGACTGAAAATTTAGATGAAGTTGATATGTTCCCCAGTTATGTGAGATCATAGCTGAAATGGGAAAGCCCCACCCGAGGAAATCCGGTCTGGAGTTGCCTCTTTTTCTTTGTTTTTTTTTAGGGGGGATTTACAACTATAGAGCACTATCAGGAAAGCATTTCCATCCAATTGGTAAGATGGCCGAGTTGGTCTAAGGCGCCAGGTTAAGGTATACCTTGACTCCATAACTAGCAATAGTTTCCTGGTCTCGCAAGAGGCGTGGGTTCGAATCCCACTCTTATCATGTCTTTTTGTTTTGTTTTCGATTATTTTTGGACATCCTACTGTTTTGATAATTGTTATTATTTTCCTTGCATGAATGATATTAGAATCAACCCTGGTAAGCATATTGGTGTTGGCGCAATTTTGATTTTTATTTCAATCCTTACAGTGAATGGCCACGTTCCAGATCCATAAACGTCCACTATCAGCCCCGCCAGGCATATCCGTCGGCGGGTATATGTATCACACACTCGGTAATCTAAATCCTACCGCGGAGTGTTCCGTAGAAGAAACAGCAAATCACATAGTAAACACAGTGGCTTAGGCTGATGAGAGAATTGTATCACACTATCTTCACCGAGAAAACGGAACGCGCGCCACCATCGGTAAAGAAAAAGGTGATCCCCCTGAGCTATCTTTTAGGGGCTGGCAGATGACCTCGTAAATGGACCCAGCTCTGCGGACTTGATCCATAGTCCGCCGGACTTCCTCTGGAGTATCGTATCGACTACGGAATAAACCACTAGAGTATGCTCATTGAATCACGTCCCCTGGCTTATTCCACCAGGCGATATACGCGACAATATCTAAAGGCTCTGGAAATTATACACAACAGCATATCCAGGACATCAACATTCTACCAGTTCAGGAATTTTTTTCTTCTTTTTCTCAACCAAAGCAAGGAATGGCTTCGGCTCGAGTAAACACCAGTACATCTCTCGGTGCAACGGTGTACAGCCAGCGGTCCGGCTTCTGCAAAATCTAAATCGCCTATTTTGGCACAATACCCCTGAGTGTATTCCAAGGATGCAGAATACACCAGCTGACCTTGAATCTCGTATTTTGGGTCAGCCACCAAAGCATGGGTAGAATCGCATGAAGCGGCTATACTGCTCGCCACAAAAATCCCCGCCATTGTACCCCAACCTACTATCTTGGAATAGATATTTATATCACCGAATTCGGCGGTGCCCACACCTAGAATTAGTACAACGGGTAGTATAGTGCAATAATTATGCCTTTGTCAATTGACCAATTGTGAAATAGTGAGAAAGAAAGGGAAGAAAGTGAGAGATACGTGAGTTTAGTGTAGAAATTAGGGTTAGGAACTATATTGGAGTATACATATAGGGTACATAGTATGGTGGCAGGGTCTATATATAGTAGCAAACCACCTTGAAATATGGTGACATATAAATTTGTGTTACATAAAAAGCTTCATTTTCTGGGTCGCCCGGGCCGATTTGTTCCGTGCTGGAACAGCTCAAATGATAACAAAAGCGGTCAAAAATTAGGCCAAATGTAGGCACCTAGACAACCACAGGGGTACCTGTCTCTCTTAGATTCCGCTCCTGCCTAGTCGGACGCTCCAAGACGTGAGTTCTGCTGTAGCCGGAGACAAATGACTATGTTATTGCGACGAGTCAAGGGAAACGCACTTTCACCTAATAGCATTGTGGCACACTTATTAATGCCGCCTCATCATGGCTAATGCTAAACGACCCCATTTTGGATGAACCCCAGCGATGACTGGGTAAACACAATGACCTTGTTATGACCCTTCCCGCGCAATATCTTGAAGTCTGCCTCCCCAACTGGGAAAGCAGCCCTCCCGAATAGTGTTGATTAGTCATTTCTTCTGATTCCTTGCAGAACTAAAAACCATCGACTGAGTCGCAAGATGGCACTGCAGGCGGCGTCAGGATCGTACTCAGGAAATGTCATAGGTCTCCCAATTCGAATAAGTATCGATCTACAGACAGACGGTGGAACCAACCCACCTGTGAGTGAACCAGGTTGCGAGCATCTCCGTCGGATGGCCAAGGAAGATGCCAATACGGAATGCCGGGATCCGTACGGTCGGTATCAACACGAGAGATGTGATAACGCACTGTTGCGAGCTGATATAGTAGATATTGAAAATGGTGAGTGCTGATCGGTGAGAACCAGGGTCCTAGCGGATGGAGGGTCGATAGCTAGGTACCGAATTGGAGATCACGGCGACATCCCTGAAGGCGAGAAGCTGTTAGTGCTTCTGGAGACCCATCACCTGCCAAGAGAGGTCTACCAAGGAGACGTCATTGATCCGACACTATACATAGGAAAGCCATTTTCTTAAAGTAAGTTCAGAAATATTCTTCAAAAAGACATTCAAGCAAAGAACCCTAGAGAATCATTGAGAAGATCAATGACAAGACCATTGAATGAAGATCACAAGGCCGTATAAGTGGTCAACTATTCTTGCATAACTTTCAAACACTTCAGTGTATGTAAATTATAGTTTCAATTTGCTTATATACAATCCAACGAGATAGACATGTGGTACCAGGGAGGTATTGAAAACGAAACCACGTCCCGTCAACAGCCTAGATCATACCCCAGTGCTCAGATCAAACTGTTTCCTAATGCACTGCCGTAAGGTGCTCTTTCATATTCTCTCCCGAGCTGAATGGGCTGAATATTCTGTTACACGGAGGGCAAACGTGGCCCATCCAGAATCAAGCTCGACGCCCGCTCCGCAACAGCATAAACAGTGGCCTGAATATTGCCAGTAGGCTCAAGAGGGAAAATACTAGCATCAACAACTCTCAAGTTCTTGGTCCCGTAAACCTTCAGATTAGAATCAACAACACCCCCGTTTTCCCTCGGCAGCATGGCACACGAGCCTGCCGGGTGGAAACATGTATACAAGCGATCCTTAACAACATCCTTCACATGATCAAGGTCGCTCAAATCAGTGGCATTCTCAGGGATGCGTTTCCCGGTCTTGAGGAGAGTAGAGAATGGTGCAGTCTCCGCAATGCGGTCCACGAACTGCAGCTGCCGCGCCATGATCTCTAGATCGAGTGGGTGTGAGAGCAAATTGGGGTCGTAGGTGGGTTTGTCTTCGATCTTTCCAGAGGAGATGTGAACCGAGCCGCGCGAGAAGGGGTGGTTGTGTAGCATCATGATAGAGATGTAATTCTCCGGGAGAGTTTTGGCCAGCACGTCGGTGAGAGTTGTCTTTCCTGGGTTCATGTGGAGTTGGGCAGGGAGGAAGAGGTAGTGCGAGGAGGATTCGTCACTTTGGAGGAGCATCTTGCGGATGTGAGAGTATTGTGCCTGCAGGTTGGCTGGGATGTTCTCGTCGTTGAGGTGTTGGGAGAGCAGGGTCTCGATTTCTTCTTTCGGCACGACACCTGTTCCGTTCATGAACGGGAGATAGGCCATGCTGAGCGGCATGCCTGCCAGTGGGCCTCCGTGTGTGTCCTCGTAGAGCTTGATGAGTGCCTGGACGACATTTGGATCGCGTAGGATATCGCCGGAGACCTGGCCGTCAGCGATTTCGAAGTTGATGCTCGTGATGGCATGGTCTTGGAGATTCTCGCCCACGGCGGGGTTGTCGATGATTACCGGGATGCCGTGGGCCTGGAGAAGATCTGCACGACCAATGCCTGAGAGCTCGAGCAGTTGAGGGGTGTTCAAACTGCCTGCACAGAGGACAACTTCTTTCGTTGCGGTGATCTGGTATGGGTCTGGAGTGCCTTGGGTCTTGACCTGCACACCTGTGGCAATGACCTCTCCGTTTTCTTCTTTGAAGAGAATTCGCTCGACCATTGTCTCTGTGAGAAGTCGGAGGTTCGGCCGCGCTGCAACATCGGGGGAGTAGTATGCCGCTGCGTACCCTCTTGCCCCCGTCTTAGAATCGACGCTCAGTGGACAAGTAAAAGCGCCCAATTTGTGGCCATCGAGGGGATCGGCATCGGTTTCCCAGCCCAATTGCGCAAAAGTCTCGTTCCAAGATTTATTGAACGGCCCATATACATCGGGTAGAGATACGGGGACAGGGCCATGAGATCCTTGGTTATCAACGTTCATGTACCGACGTGTGCCAAGTAGTTCTGCTGTAGCCTCGCTGGGTGCAGAATATGTGTGAAATTGCCGAAGATAAGGCGCCATATCCTTAGCGCCCCAGCCATCATTTCCCAACGCTTTCCAAGCATCAAGGTCTGATGCAGTGGGGTATGCAACGACGGAAAAATTCAACGCGGAGGAGCCGCCGACGACACGACCGCGGGGCTGGCCGATCTGCCGGTTCTTTGCATGAACCTGTCCTTAAATCAGCATCGGATGCGAGGATCTGCTGAAGGAGGACATACCTGTGGAACACTCATATAATCCCAGTCAAAGTCCGGGTTGCCATACATTGTGGCCAAAAGTCCAGGGGTCTCGATGCGAGGATCTCCCATCCGATTGGCGCCGGCTTCAATGAGGAGCACGCTGATGGAGGCATTGCGGCTTAGGCGATTTGCCAGAACAAGACCGCCAATTCCTGCGCCGATGATAATGTAGTCGTATTCATCCATGTTGCAATTCAATTTGATGGGGGAAGTGCGCATTAAAATATTTTGGAATCAAGTATTGACATCGACTGACAGTGGAGTACATGGAAGGGCATACTTCCGGACTTCCAGACCCATATTAATTACGGCAAACGGGGGTACGGAGTAGTTAGCTGTTAATTTTGGGCGGTTAGCTAGCGTACCATAACTTTTTTCGGAAGCTGATAATTTATATCCCTCAGAATGGTGACTAGGTTGTGATTTGTTGATGACTGAAACAATGGAGACAATAGAGGAAATGGTCTTTGCAAACTTGAGTTAGTCCCAGTTAGTGTGCTCTAGTCTTTCCAATGACAGTCGATTTCTTCAGCCTTTTTAAGTAAATTAATCTTTCAAGGTTTTTTGGTTCGAAAAACGGCCCGTCACAACGGCCCATAGCAATTCCATGGTTAGCTAGCCCCTGCCGATCAACTTGTCTGGCCAACCGCCTGAAACCCTAGCAGTTGTGATCAGCTGTTAAAGTTCCTTTAAGTTTCTTCACGTACTCTAGATTGTAAATAACCTATCTTCACTGAAAAATGCAATTATACAATGTCTTCGAATTTCCAATTGTGCGAGACCAGCTCATCGCTAATACAATCCTTGTTGCTCTCGCCACTCTTTTGGTAATATTGCGTGGTGTCTCCCGACGAATTCGAAAAGCTTATCTAGGATGGGACGATGCATGCTGCGTCGCGGGACTATTTCACACATATGGAATGCTCGCAATGCAATTCCACTATGCTCGTGTCGGGATGCGACACCACATCGCCGTGATACCCCCAGAGAATGCTGTATTAATCGCCAAAATGCTGATGGTCTACCAAATCGTCTACTATAACGCCATGGTTCTGGCCAAGTTCTCTTATCTCGCCTTCTACCTGCGCATCTTTGTGTCGCGGGAATTTCGCATCCTGACGTGGATCTGTATGGGCTGTGCGGGTGCATACTGGACCGGCAGTATGCTCCAGATCTTCCTAATTTGCACACCCTTCGAGAAGAATTGGAACCCTACCCTACCAGGTCATTGTGCGAGTCAGAACGTGGCTTTTTCGACGATTGGAGCCTTTAATCTCCTTACCGATGTGATGATCATGATGTTGCCTATTCGCTTTGTCTGGAAATTGCAAATGTCTCTCGCGACTAAATTGGCGCTGGTTGGAATCTTTGGATTGGGTATCTTGTACGTTTTTCTTTTTCTCAATTTTCGAGGTTCCCCGGTGCAAAATTCTGACAAGCATCATAGTATCTCTTCTATCACCATTGTCCGAATCTTTGTCCTCACCACGGTCGATTTCACCGATCTATCTTACTCTATGATTTGGGCTGCTTTCTGGAGTGTCACGGAGCCTGCTCTTGCCATTGCAAATTCCTGCGCGCCCATGCTCCGACCGATTCTCAAGGCTGCGTTCCCGTCCTTGTTCTCCAGTGTCCGTAATGCATACTCGACTCAGCCGTCAACGGGACCCAGCCTGAGCAAGAATAGTACGGCGAAACGGGAGCATGGCATAGATGAGATGGATAGTGAGTTTCCACTCACACGATTGGATCAAATACCAGGATCGGCAGACGGAGGGTCATTGAATGATCAGTCGCAGGATGGTCGCTTGCACTACACATCATATCAAACCCCTAGGTTAGCCGTTGGGACTCCTAAAGGATTACTATAAGATTCTAAGGTTGAAAACAATCAATCGAGTTTCATTTTTACATTCTCTCAGCCTTCTTAATGGGTGTGCCCATTTTGCGTTGAAATCACCTTACGCCACCTTGGTGGATGAGCTTTGTGCTCTCTTCTCTCCCAGACAAATCGCGTAGCGGTAGTAAATTTGAGAGTATTCTTAGATGTGAGTTCAATTATTTTGTGCCAGGTAACAGATGTTAGTTATATTTGGGCTGTTCGATACTGCCAACAGCAATGCTCGGACAATGCAGATTGAGGAGTCGCAAGAAGATGATGATTAAATAAAAACAAAAAAGAGAGAAGAAAACATACAATAGTAATGCTTTATAAATTCCTTGTTTCTCTCCATTTATTTATGTGTTTTTTTAAGCCTTGGGACGCTCTGGGATATCCTTTTCCTTATTAGCTCCAGGGAAGCGGGTACCTCTATCCTTGACCTTCTTTTCCTTCTTCTGTACAACCGGAGGCGGGTAAGCCTTAAGGGTAATTTCCTGCCATTCGGGCGAATCAACGTAGGCTTTGTGAATAGGTGCCATGAGACGATTCAAAGCCTCTGCTGCTGCAGGCTTGAGAAGTTGGGGAGTTAACTAGGGGATTGTTAGTAGGATGCCGAAAGTAAGTGAAAGAAATCAACATACCACATCATTTGCGTAATCATCTTTGAGTTGTTGGATGTCAGTGTAGATGAGAGGTTCGTCATCCCGGCGTTCCACGCGGAATTCCTTCTTGCCGGCGAGGGCGGCTGCGGGGAGCAAGACAAACTCAACCATAGCAATTACGCCATTGTTCTCAACGACTCGAGGAACTGCTTCCGATTTACGGATTTTTTTGGCGACTGCCTCAGGTGGGTCGAGGAGATCAATCTTGCTATCTAGTTGGGGTTAGTTCTGAATATCCAAGAAATGTGGGATTTTGATATACCTTCGATACTTGAGCTCATTTTGCCACCGCTGAGGCCTGCAACCATTGGAGTGATGAGATGGGCACGCTAGGAGTCGACAATCGTTAGTAACATTCAGGAAGCCTGGAACAAATATATGCCTTACCTTTCGGTACCCGAGTTTAGGTAGCCATTCTGTTGCTGCCGTGAAGAGCTTCCTCTGATCGAGGCCTGTTATTTTCAGTTAGAGATAGTACAGATATGTAAGTGGAGTAGAGTTAAGACATACCGCCTAATTCAGCATCGACCTTGAGATACTCTTCATCGAGGACCTGAAGGATCGGGTAGAGAAGACCACTCATTGGGGCGTTGGTCGATTGCTTCACAATCTCTGCGCCAGCCTTCCTACAATCATGCTCAGAGGTCATAGCGGCAAGCCGGTAGACATCCATAACATAGTCGGAACTCCGCTGGTAGGAACTTCCGAGGACGAACTCGAGTTTCTCCGTCGATACGCCCACAGCCTCTAAGACTGCCCTGATGATCTTTTCATAGTATTTGACACGGTTTTCAACCAGTTCGAGGGGCGCTTTCATTGAATCCAGGAACGCGTGCACATCGGCAAGGAGAATAACCACCTCGCATCCTGACGCTAGTAGCTGGGCAATCTTAAGTGCGGCGACGAAATAACCAGAATGAGGCCTTCCGGTTGTAGCAGTGCCTAAAATAGGAGAGATGTCCATGTTAGTTAACCATATTGAATGTTAGGTGGGGAGTCATTACCCCAGTAGACACGGGGATTGCGCCCCTCAGCAAGGATGCTCTCGATAATTTCCGGGTTAAGAATCTCGCCGAGATTCTCACGAATGAGAGCGAATCTTGACTCCGCAGATAAAGACATTGTGAGGCGGATTGAAGGGTGGGCAATAATGTGAGGGGAAAAGATCACAAAGAAAAAAGTCAGTCCACTTTGACCCCGCGATAAAACTTGCAGAAAAGGGCGGTCAGACGCGGTGAGTCACAGTCACATGACCGTAACCGATCCGTACCTGACCCAATCAATAAATGCCGTATGTAAATTTAAAAAAAAATCCATGAGACTTTGATCAAATTAGATGTCATCATTATTTTCGTCATCCATTCTAGCGGCGGTGTAATAATTATCTTAGTATGCGATTATCACTTCGTCGAAACTACGGAGTGCCTATGTTAAACTTATAGTTAGTGGTGGAGCCGCTCCCCACGTAAAGATGCATGGACCTCTTTTTTAAAACAAATCATAACTCCATGGGTTTATGGGGATGAAATTATACTACTTACTACCTTCTGATCAAGACAACTGATCTATTGAGGAGAACTTTTGAATGGGGTTGTAATAAGGAATGGCATTTATCAGTGATGTTGTCTGGGTTAGATCAAATTGCCCCATTTCTTTTTGTGGACGGGGAGTAATCTAGGGCAGAGAGTAGCATTTTATTTCAATGTATCTATGAATTTGTATACTCATAGATACAAAGTAGGGGCCTGATCTCACGAAGCAACCCACGTATGGGTAAAATGTTCCCTCTGCATCAAAGTTCGACCACGGAACGTTTGAAGGAACATCTCATCAAGCGTAGTGGAACGATTCTATGTACTCAGACAATGGGCAAAAATCCAAACAGCTTTGAGAGATTCAAGCCGAGATAGAGGAGGATTACCAAAAGTTCTAAAGAACTAGATTTATAGCTGCATCTGAGTGATTCACGCAAGTGGTTTTTTGATGATTTTCGGGTTTTCCATCAAAGAAAGTCGATTGAGTAATGAACGCTTGGGGGAAAAAAGGCTCACAAAGACGTTAATCTTTGAGTTTGTGTATACTTCCTGGTATTTGAAATCCTTGGAGGATTGAGCGATATTTCACATTGCTACCTAAGCCAAAGCAGAATATCAACAAATGTACACAAAAACTGGTTGATGTTGGAAAATAAGTTATAAGAGGCTTTGTAGAAGAGATCCATGTATAATATTACACACCTTTATCTCATCGAAAGATTATGTTGGCTTGCTATGTCATATTTGAGGCTGAAATCATTCATTGTCAGCTGTGTATAGGTATGGAAGTCTGTCTCTTCTGAGGTTAAAAATCAAAACTACTCGACACGGTTGCTATATACATTGGAGCTACGTCATTATATCTACCTCGTATCCTCATGACCTATGAGTATAGCATTCCTCGTCCTTGGTCGCTAGACCGAGGTTCACACTCATGGGCTGCATAGCTTGGCATTGATTGCTTTGAAATTAGGACTGTTATTATGTAATTATCTTTGTGGATTCCTGGCGTTTTGATGAGAGTCAAATACTTCTTCCTATTCATATTTTACCGAGAACACCACAGCACAATAATGGAAGCCCCTCTGATAGCTGTAGTCACAGGAGCTGTAGGTCTTGCCCTTTGATTCTAGGCTACCACTGACCGTGATTGCAGAACCGTGGCATCGGCCGTGCCATATGTGCTGCGCTGGTTCAGCAGCTTCCAGGTCCCCTAGTTTTGTACGCAGCCTCGCGTGCCGGGGCTTCTCCCGATCTGACCAACCTGACCATTCCTCCAACTGTCTCAATTCGCCCTGTCCAGCTCTCCCTAACGGACCAGGCAAGTATCTCAGCACTCAGTGCGAGGATTAAAAATGAAAACAAGGGCTGTGATGTACTCATTAATAATGCCGGGATATATTTTTTCCAAGAGAACATCACAGCCGCACAGCGGCAGGAAACCCTTGACATTAACTATCGTGGCACTCTCAATGTATCCAAGCCCACCGACCCAACTTCTCTGGTCCTAATTCCCGCCCACTAACATGCTCAGATTTGTCAAGCTTTCCTACCAATAATGCGCAAGGGTGGCCGTATCGTCAATATTTCTTCCCAGTCCGGCCAGCTCAAATACTTCCATCCTCGCTTGCAGGCGCGATTTCTGCGCCCCGATCTCAATCTCTCTGAGCTGGATGATCTAGTTGATGAGTATCTCGTACGATAATTTGATCATCTTTATCTTTCTCTGGTCTACTGACAACCACTTCACTTTAGCGCTCAGCCGAACGGCACAATGCGAGCGCTTCGGGCTGGCCCCCTCTTGCTTACTTCACCAGCAAAGCCGCTCTAAACTCCGCCACACGAATTTTGGCCCGCGAAAATCCTCATCTATTGATCAACTGTTGCTGCCCTGGGTGGGTGGGTACGTCATTGGGTGCGCAGGCGGGCCAGCCACCAAAATCTGTTGGTAAGTATGGAGTTTCTTTCTCCCACAGGACTTCTCTCTTATAATGATATTAGAACAGGGAGCGAGAATTCCACTGCGACTGGCGATTGGGGAAATCGAGCAAATCAGTGGGCGGTACTGGGCGAATGATTCGGTGGCGAGTGCGGGCTATGGGAAGGTCCAGGATTGGTAGTCTAGGGTTTCACTTGATCCTGCATTTGAGATAATTTATGTCAGTGATCTAGCGATACTGCCATAAAGTCTGCTGTTGGAGGATGGTCAACTTTGAAACAAGTCTTTGGTATTTTAATTTGCTTCTGCTTTTAGGACAGAGCCCCGGAGAAGGCTGTATTTTAGAAAGCCAAAAGTACACGGTGCTCGACCTGACAGCCTTGATTAAGCAGATCAATATGGATGCTATCTTTTTCCAAGCAATATCCCGAAAAGCTGCGAAGCATCTGCAGGCATCTCACGCACCCCCTGCAGCTGCTGACACATTACATCGTTGATGCTGTACATATCGCTTAGTGAACTAAATATACACCAGGGCTGACTTTTACTTACCGACATAAAAATAGAGCATATCAAGCTTGCAATAGCAGCTACATAAACGCAGATGAAACTTTCCCCGAAAAGTTAGCAAGGCTGTCACCAAAAACTGAACAGTTGGCACTTACATATTATGCCAAGCAGACACGATTATAACAAGCGCCTGTTCACGCAGCGTCTCGGAGAGTGACGAGAGTAGCTTGCTGCTAGTCCCAGAGACAATTTGTCTGACCTGAGACTGGGGGTAATCAGGAAGTAGGGCGAACAGGCCATCCGACGCAATATTGACGAATACTGCGCCGCTAATAGACAAGCCCATCGTCATACCGCTTAGCTGGGCTGCAAAATCTATGTCAGCTGGAGATCTGGCAGATGAGTACGAGGACGAACCTAGTAACATGAGAGTCAGCCCATTAGGTGCTTCTGCGGGTTCTACAACAGCTTGGATGACTGCAAAAGCTGCCTGGGTGTAGGCGCCAGCACCAAGACCTAGCACAACTTGTAAACCATATATTACGCCTGATGAGGTGTCGACGTTGACGATGGTGGCTGTTGGTGATCGTGTTAGCGTATGATCTAAGAAGACATGCACACTTCACGTATGACTTACACATTAGCACAGCCGGGATGAGTGCGATTACGCTGCCGCCGAGATACCAGGGCTTGTAGTAGCCAAAATGAGACATCATAGCTCCGCTAGTTGGGATAGTAGCGATGAGCAGGAAGATGAACGGGAGTAGACGGACGGCAGATTTGATCGCGTTGTCTCCTTGGGTGAACTGGAAATATATAGGGATATAATAGACACTGACATAGGACACGGTACCCACTGCTGCACAACAGATAAACAGCAGGATGGGTTCCTTCTGGGTAAAAAGGTGGATGGGTAAAATGCGTCTCTCGACCGTGGTGGCGATATTGAACCCCTGTTGTAGACCGAATATGATCCACAGAACACCGGAGACAACAAACAGCGCAATAGTCTGCCCACTATCCCATGGATAAAGGGTTCCACCAAAATTGATGGCCATGACAAAAGTAGTGAATGAACCAACACTGAGTATGGTGCCCACCCAGTCGAAGGTGGCTACTTTCTGCCATCGCGAGGTCCCGGGTAGTGGGTCGTTGGACGGAATGACAAAAACATAGGCTGGAAGTAAGATGGCACCAAAGAGAAGGTTGATGTAGAAGGCCCAGCGCCATGTATACAGCTCAAAAGCACCGCCGATGACAGGGCCCAGCACAGTGCCTAGACCCCAAACCAAGCCACTAGAATGAAATTTCAATATATAATCAATCCGTTTTGACAAAGCATATGCTCACCTCAAGCTTAGATATTTTGGGCGCTCTTTGCTGGTGGTATTCATAGAAATCAGAGCAAGTAGGCCGAAATACATGCCATTTCCACCCGCCCCAGCAAAGACCCGGCCAATGATTTCGGCGTCCATCGTTGGCGCACCACCACACAGCGCGGATGCTGCCATAAATATAACAGTGGACACAATAAACACCCATTTGGCATCAAATATTGAGTATATTTTCCCAAGCGGAAGTACCATTGCCATTCCTCCAATCATGAATCTGTATGGAGCGAAGCTTGTCAGCGGCGACGTTGATGGCTAGCGCTATCATCCGACACGTACCCCACTGATAGCCATGGCAAATCCTCGACGGCATTAAAATCGTTGACAATTGTCTTTTTGTAAATGAAACATAGTTATTAGTATGGGGTTCTTGACTGAGGGGAAAGAATGATGTGCCTACCGGAGCAATGTTGGCAACAATTGTATTGTCCAAAGAGTAAACAAAGATTGCTGTCAGGGTGCTGAACAGAAAAATAAACCACTAAGGCAAGTCAGGTGTTTGTTTCTCCCAAAGCGGGATGTAAATGAATACACGAACCCTCAGGCCGGTGATATTCCGCTTTTCCTGTGATTCCTGCGACGTATCACTCGAAGCGAGCTTTTCAGTATCCTGAATGACCTCAGGGCCTACCGACATAGATACTGTAGACATGATTAAATCAATTACGCCTGTATGAACAAACCTAAAAGGAAACTATACGGCTACTATATTGTATCACGTAGGATATTGTAGGCTTTCCCAGCGGTCATTTGTCAAGTCGGGAGGGAAGTTTCCCCGACAAATGGGACTGTACTGCAAAATGTGCTTTTTAACTGGGCCGAGAATGATCGCGGAAATTGACAATCTACATAAGTTTCCGACTCCATAACGGAGACTTTTATAGTTCGGCAGATCTACCCGCCGACCCCATGGCCGATCCACCACGCATGTAGAAAAAGTCTCCGCTTATTTTTATGAACACAAAAGCCAAGATTGACACGGCCTGTCCAAAATGACTGCACGGGGGGGGGGCGTTCTTAGATCGGACCATCAATCTTCGTGTGTGTCTATCATTCATAGATCATTATGTGAATTGGTTTGCCCGTATCACACTCACAAAAGCTAACTGGCCTTGAAATGACATAACTATATTAACAGCTGAAAAAAGAAAATGACACTAGGCCCAATAAGCGGTCCATCCCTTCTGAGGGTTGGGCCGCACGTGTTGAATATAAAAAATGAGTCCGATGCAAATGCGTGACACAAGTACCTTTCTGGAGAACCACCCGGACAAAAGCCACTTGACGTCAAATTTCATTAACAAATATAGCTCCAGAATACTTATATGATATTGAAAACGACTCCTGACACACTCTTGTTAAGCTACTTCGGGTATGTCTTCGGTTCTCGACCAGCCCATCGTAATTATAGCATCCCATATCATTCTAGATTCTTGACACCCCTCACATAATTTGGGCCATTATCATGATATCTCCAAATACAATGTGTATTCATACTCATATAGTAATGGCTGAATACTGTAGGGTGGATGACATTGAATTCTACGAAAAATGTGTCCCAGCAAGTATGTGTACATTCTAAATCTATCGTATGCATATAATCTACAAGAATATTACGTAACGATCAAAGCGAAAAACGGTAGTCTAGGCATTGGATGCGCAGGAGAAAGGCTTTTGAGCGGCCTGCGCATTGATCCGAATGCTTGTTCCTGTGGCCCAAAGACCCATTCCACACTAATTTCATTAGTATGGTATTATCGTAAACCAAGAGATAGAAAACTTACAATTAGGCAACACAGGGCAACGAGAAAGATGTTGAGTGCAGTTAAAGCCATCTTTCGTTTGCTTGAAAGGTACCGGCCCCGGTTCATCTTCAACCAAAATAGGCCCTCCAGACCGAACGAGAACCAGCTGCAGAATGCCGCTGCAATCATGTTGAGAAGATCGTTGAACACAGGAATAGCGAGGGCGATCACCCACGCGATTACCCACATGAGGAACGTGATCAACACCCAAGTGCCATATGAGCGGAAAGACCTCTCGCCCATCATATGCGAGCCACGGAACAACCGCACGTAAATGGTCTTTGCACCGACGTGGCAAATGACCACTCCAGCAATGACGATCGTACCAATGGAGATGCCAAATGCAATTTTCGAAACGATTTCACTAGCACTCAGCAGCGCGGGGCTGAGGACATCCGGCCCGGCGTATCGGTAAATCACGAGCGCAGTAACAAGATACAGCGATGTGTCCGTTGCTTGGAAGGCAATGAGCGCTTTGGGATAGTCGCGTGGATCTTCCAGCTCCGACTGGAAGCTGAAAAATGACATGTGGCCGGAATAAGCAAGGACGATGTTCAGGGTAGCAGAGAATCCGTTCATCAGAGTTGGGTGGGTAATAGCATATGCTCTGGGATCGGGTGCCTCGATGCCAACAGCGATCATGGTAATCATTACAGCGGTGAAGATCGATAGGGAGGCTAGTAGTTGTTAGTTTAGTCTCAACAGCAGAAAAGAGTTCTGTCATACAGATGATGCCCAGATATGAGACTTCCTCCATGCGCCTTGAGAGAGTCAGGATGAAACACAGGACGGTTCCCACCAGGCAAAAAATGATGGTACAAGTACCGTGGTTAGTAAGAGTATTCATCATGATAGAGAATGTCAAGACATGAGCGCCCATAAGGAAGATGAAACAGATAACCTGGGCGATTCCAACAATCTCGCGACCCCAAGCGCCGAATAAGATATCTGCGGCATCTGCCATGTTGTGAACTTGAGGGTATCGCAATTTGAATTGGCCGACAACATATCCAGTGTAGGTCGTCAGAGCTCCAATTCCAACGATGATGATACAACCACTGCCAGGATTAGCATGAATTCCTGATAAAGTCGAGAAGAAAACCCATCAGACGTACGGGACCAAACCCAAAACTGCCATCGACGATGGGAGGGAGAGAACTCCCAATGAGACAGACTGAGCAATCATCACTATTGGCTGCTTAGCTAGAATTCATGATTGAAATTAGTCCAACTGGGGTGAGTTACAGATTGCACAGTTCCTGGACGAAAGTTCGATTAGCTTGCTGCCATGGGAATCCTGCAAGTGTAGACTTACCACCACTTCATACTCCTGTAACGCACACCACCAACAACTTCCCCGGCAAATGGATCTTGTGACTTCTCTGGATCCATAAATTCCTCCACATCTTTCCCCAGGTCTTTTTCCATGTCTTTCTCCATGTTGTTAAATTTATAGGGTTGGTTGCAAGTTGATGTTGACTCATCGAGTATCGACGATAATCTTTGAAGAAATCTCTGACTCCCATGGCCCCACTATTTCCTTGTCTGGGGAAGAGAACTACCGGACAATCGGAGTGAAACTATCATTGAGATATGCAAATAAAGCTGAGAAGTTGAGCGGAATATTCGATATATATGAAACCGATCAGATCTTCTTATGTACTGATTCTGCGCGCATGCTGGGCGGAGGATAAGTCTTGACAGACATTCTTTGGCCCTGTGCTTGGACAATGTCTTGCATCATGTTCAAAGACGTATAAAACCCCAGATTCTTAGATGCTTCTTCCCCGCATTAGGTGGAGCGTATCTGGAATGGATAAGACTCTAATCTCTATAAAAAATTTTGGCGTCTTCGAAGGAGCATGTAACATGAGTTCCTGTTCCGTTCCTGTTCCGGGCCCACTATTTGTGTCTGAAAGCCATTGCCTCTGAACATACTTGAGCAAGAAGTCCTGCTAATGTTGTTTCTATCTCTTGATATGCTCTATACCGTTCGAAAAATCGATCAATTACGTTCTTGTAGTGAGTGATAAAAGCACAGAATTCAGCAACATCAACATGCCAATTCCGGAAGCGGATATCTCCTTCCGTGTTCCGTCCGGTCGAAAAACTCTTTACCACCGAGGTCATGTGACACTATCACGTGACTAAATCGACAATCAAAGGAAGCAGATCATGCGGTGCAGCAGACATCACTGAATGGCATCAAATATCACGGAAATTGCCTTGCCTAGCCTGCAATGAAACTTCCGCTGATGGCTGGTAAGACCATTGCCTCTGGACCCGAGACCCGGGAGGGGATGGGGAAGAGTCGGATGATCACCAGGGTCACCACCCACAGTATTCATCTTCTGAATATACTATGTATATATATACTACATATGTATAAAAAGTAGTAAATATTCATTTATTTTCCAGACGAGCGGCGTTGCAACGTGACGGGGGAAAAGGAAGAGAAGTTTCCAACGAGGGGAGCAACGCCTTCCAAATGGAATTCGTCTGAATGCAATCACCCCATAAGACTTCCAAGTCCACAAGGTCAAGAATAAGCTATTCAAACAAAAGCACCATAGAGTCCCTAGGCTCCTCTTTCGAAATAATTCAAAAGACACAAAACTAAGCATGCAATAGGGTCTTTCTAGACGCTATGTAGTCGACATGATCAATATTCATGGTGGACGAGTCAGACTGTGAGTTTGAAATTGTCAAATTAGCTGGGCAAACCAGGAACAGTGGCCCATATCTGGTGTCGGGAAGTTCACTTTTACCGTGGTAAATAAAGCCTCGTGACAACAGTTCGAATATCAAGACGACAAGGGCCTGGAAACCTCAGCATGGCTCAACTTTGTGCCTTGACTTGGGCAAACTCATGGTGTCTTGGTCTAGACTCTAAGTCGTATGAAATTTGGGAATGGCAAAGTTTGATGACTTCGGAATTATTCTGGCGTTGCATCACTCGAAATCCGTGCTGTGCAGGGGTCCCAAATCTTGTCAACGCGGATAACTGCTGGAATACGGAAGACCTTCACATGATTTATTGACAACTGATTACCGACATCATATGGCAGGTAAAAAAACCATAGCTACAATTTATTCTCCAAAGGAAAAAAAGTGAATTATGCGCAAATCTTTGAAGTATATAGAATTCTAATGTGTTCTGGCCATCTAGATCCGTGGGAATTTCACTTTGAGTGGTCAAATTGATCAACGGAATAAATCCATAGTAGTAGCAATGCCTAAGCGACAGCAAAATATAATAGGAACCCATCTCTCCCTTTCTTTCTCCTGATATCCCTTCCTACAAACATCCTATCTACTATCCAATCACCCTTCCCCCTATCATTACCTTTCCCTTTATCAATAGTGTTCCATGACTTGATGATAAAAACGTCTTTACTGAGTTGGAGGAAGAATATAGGAAGAGTATAAGGTATTTTATCAAAGGGATCGGTCAGACATGGCTACAAAGGTTCTGAGGTGACGGCCGAGTAGCTGAGTGAAAATTTCCAATCGTCAACGGACACGTGGAACAGACGGTGCTGGAAACTTGATCATACTGAAGATAGGAGTTCGCCAATTATTGCAGATTTTGGGCTTGCAGCAAAACCTGACTCGGGTCGATACGATGGAGCGAGCTAGTGGCTACGAAGCCCACTGGAGACCACGACACAGACCCTAGCGGAGATTCTGCTAGATGTGTATCTGCAGAAGCCTGACTCACCACAACCTCGACATGTGCCGGAACCGAAACCTGGCCTGCGACTCATAGTGACCACGACCACGACCAGATCCGAACCCAGACCCGGACTCCAGTCCCGACAACGAATCGACCGGTCTTCCATGAAGACCGGGGTCTCCTGGGACAGCAGAAAGCCTCCCAGGGGATCCAACGGCCGCGAGCTTGGACCTCTACGTGGTGCTGCTGACTAGTAGCCTATTGGTGAAGCCAACGCAAGCTCATATCAATATTCTTGCCCAATTTCTTTACATACTGCAACCCCTGTCTTGAACACACTTTTAAACATGGGATTATAAGTTCTTATTGTCTCCAGACAAGCACATACGACCATAGGGTGTGGAAAACAGGGCTTCCCGTCCGCTCAGCCGTACTTAAGCCACACGCCGGTGAGTTAGTAGTTGGGTGGGTGACCACCAGCGAATCCTCACTGTTGTATGTTTTTTTATTTTTTATTGAAAATACCTTTTATTGAACTTCTCTCTTGCACAGTGACTTCAGCAAAGTTTTTTTTCACCCAGTTGTAGCGCCTCGTGGTAGGCATACAGCATGCTCTAAGTATTGATTGATGGATCAAATTGCCGGCGGAGTATTCATCAACTCAACACTGAATCCTAGGAGTGTCATGTCATTTCTAGAATAACCATCTCTGACGGCTGATAGGCGAGCCGGAACACCCATTCTTAGCTAGGCAATTAATCGAAAATTGGGCTCAAAACTAAAAGGTATTTGTACAATCCCCCATTATACTTAAACATGCATTGCCCACATCTTTCACCCTTTCCCTCCATGATAAACTTCTAGATACGATCGTTTGCAATTGTAAGAGGAATCAACGAGGAACCAGCACCCGAAACCAAAACGCAGACCTATAGGCCGTGCCTATAGAGACCTCTTTCTTCTGCAGTCGCGGATACATGACGGATTTTCCCCCACTGGCTTTGCCGTTAAATACCTGTGGTCATCTTGATACTGCACGAAGAATGGAGGTTTAACTGTCTACTAGCTTGAGTGGCTTGGCTCAAAAATCTCATTGACTCGTGGGCCAATTCTTATCCCTAAGGTTGTTCTCATGCAATAGACGGATAATAACGTTTTGTTGCCCGCTAGTCTCCTCGGTGTATCCAATACAATGTCGGCACGAAGAAACGTTTATGTTGTACGCTGTCATTTATTTTATTATTCGGGTTACAGAAGATATATTTATTTGACTCATTTGACTTCCCTAGCGACTCAATTAACTCTTTGCTCCACAGATATCACTAGGCTCAGCAACAGATGACTCCTATGCGACATCCGAGGACATTGATTGACTGACGGCCAGATCAAATCAATAGCGAGATCCCCGGGCCCAAAACATGTTCAAAGCTACGGACTAGATAAGATTATGAAGCTCAATATGTTGTATTGTAATAGCTGCAGAAAGTGTGTAGAGGGAGGAATTAGGAGTTAGGAATAGGCTGTAAGAGTAGGAAGTCGTGTGACTATTAAGAGCATTCAACAGCTTCTTTGCCGGTGATAAAATCACATAATCAGGGTGGGGGCCAATTGTGAAAGGTTTTTTGTCCAACGCGACGAGCCTTGCTGGGACCAGATCGCAGGGAGTGCCTGGATGCCTGCAGATATGTTCTGGAACTTGATCTTCGCAAATATACGTTTCATCCGATCAACAAAGAATATTCGATGCTCCGGGTCTGTACTATCTGCCGCCGCAATGAAGCAGACCCACACAAGGGCATGAGAGCCCATCTGATTGGGTTCGATCTGCGACACCAACTGCTTCAAACTCTCCAAGAGCTGCCACTGGTCATGATCAGACGCCACTCGGCCGAGATAGATCCCAGAAGCTTTGATGAAAGCCATTCTGGAAAGATGGAGTATATGGCTGTGTTCAGAATCCGAAGGAAGGTCATAATAAGTCCAATCGAGGTAGTGCTCAAGTGGAAAGCTCAATACATTCACGCCTTGATTCTCACTGAGCAAGGGTTGACCGAGAAATTCAAACCTAAAATCACAGTCAGACAGGGTCAGAAACGGTCTAAGAAGAGTACCATATGGTACCCACATGTGAGTCTGTTGGCTTAAAAAACGGCGCGCTGAAGAGGGCGCAATTTGGTCAGCATTTTGTACCAAACACATCAAGGTTCGCAGAAGGTGGCCATATTCCGAGCTGCCTGTGATGGTCTCTCCAACTAGTAGAACGATCAGAGTTGCCCACGTAGAGGTGTTGAATACGCGATCTGGTGACGTTGAGTCTCGACACAATCGTGATATCAGTGCAGCTCGCCCTCGATCGGCAACTGACTGATAGGAAGGGTTATTCAAGGCCAGATGTTGTGCAGCTACTACGCCGACAGCACGTTGCAAGAGCTCATCCTCGCACGCTAGGGGCAGTAAAATATCTCGATAGCCATTGGAAACATGGTCTAGAACAACCATCACAGGAGCGACTTGTTCCGAGACTACTGTTTGTTAGTAGATAGATATCCTCGTCGGCTGAAGAAGAGCTTACAGTGCGACATCAACATGCGGGTCTGAGAATTCAAAGGAGCAAGCCACCGGTGGATTGATCCTGGCACATGAATAAGCGCCTCATCAAAAAGGCGATCAACATATCCATCGATGACATCGGGGTGATTTTGACGCAGCTCTAAGGGTTCAGCACATGCAGGCCCGGTGTCTCGGTTGCTTGGAGTGAGAAAATTTGTTGCTTGAATTGAGTTCAAACTAGTCGCTGCGCATTTCTCTTTTTTCCTTCTGTTACGCGCCAGCTGGTCGTTTTTCCACCTGATTTTACGTGGCGCCGGTATAGCCTGTGCATTGCCTTCAAACGGCTCGGGCGGTGGGTCCGCCACTGGAATGGTGCATCCTTTTAATCGTCCACGTTGGGCGACACCAGTGGAGAAGCGAATCCGACCAGGGCCGGAGCATTCAATTCCTTTCTTCTGACATTTATTGCACGTAGGCCCTGTATTGTCACAGATAATACGGCGCTTTGAACATTGAAAGCAGCCTAGAGGTAATGTGGAGCGTGGTTAAAATCTTTGTCCGCGGCTGGGAGATAGAAACTCACCCCTGATTTTGCCGCGAGGGGAGGACATCTGAACTCAGATATGGGAAGATCACATAAGGGGGCTTAGATGATATTGAAGAAGAGATGTGGTAAGATGAGAAGCTTGTCGAGCATATCGTTGGGCGGGGCTCTTACCGAGGAAGATCGGATTGGTGACTAAAAGCCCAATCGCCCCTTTATACCAAAATGGATTTGTTTCTCGTCTCTTCTTTTTTCTTTTCTTTTTTTTTTTGGGAGAACAAGATTTCAATTCGTACTATTAATAGCTATATTTCCTCATCATTTGATTGGAGCCGGGGCCCATTATACTTTCCTCGGGCATATATTCCCCAGTTGATTCCAGCAAATATGGCCATAACCGCTAGTACAGCCGATGTGTAGTCTGCATTTCTCCAGTTAGCTATATTATCCTTGCTGAGGGGATATGAATCATGGAACTTACTCATGTTGCTTCCAGTCACCGGAAGAACCGTCGGAAGGTCATAGAAAATCAGAACAAGAATCGCGAACCCAATTGTGATGGCATTCACACTCCACCCCACCACAGAGGGTAGTCGAAAAGCTCGATCTCGAGGCAACCAGAACTCAGAGCGCTTGCGATACATGAGAAGTGCAGCTGGAATTGCATATGAGATGTGCTGGAGCACCAGACCACTGCCAATGAACGCGTTAAAAGCAGATGAAGAACCCAAGTAGATGCATCCGATGATGAACATAATGACAAAATTGAAGATGAGACCCCATACGGGTACTTCAAACTTTGGATGTATTCTGCTGAGCCATTTGCTGCCGATAATGGCACGGTCTCTAGCCAGCGACCATGTCAGACGAGAAGCGGTTTGTTGAGCACCGATGAGGGCGAAAACGGCGGCGCAGCAAAGTAAAACGACGAAGACTGTAGCGGCTACACTCGACCGCGTAGCCTGATACCACATCTCGAAAATAGGAACCCTTGTTGTTGGTCAGCGATATGGAAGCGCAATATAGCTCAGAGAAAGGGGAATGCAGACATACCCGGTAGCAGAGGTCACAACAGCATTCAAATCACTGGTGCAATATAGCATGGCAACCATGAAAGTGAATGATGAGACAAACCCAATAAGCAATGTACTCATCAAAGCCCGAGGTACCACTGTGTTCGCATTTTGGCATTCCTCGGCCAAGTGCAATGCCCCGTCGATGCCAGCGTACATATAGTTAGGCGTGACAAGACCGGTCAAGAAGGCAACCCCCCCCAGAACTCCAACCACTATCATTGATGAAGGTTCCCCAAACGTTGACAGAGGGTTGATAGTTGGAAGATGACCGAGCGAGACATGTAATAGTAATGACAAAGAAGCTGGCAAGGGTCGCAAAGACTGAAATCATTAGAGCCTACTCGTTTGAACTTGGGGTGAGTACTCACAAGCAACATCGTGAATCCAAAGGGATCGTTTCAGCAAAGTTATATTGTATAATAATACAAGTCCATTTATGGCTTGGTAGATGAGAAAATAATGCCATGCCTGTGGAGTGTAATCTGGATTATAGAACAGGGCGATGCCAACAATAAGTTGTGCAGGGATAATAGCAATGCCGGTGCAGATGGCTATCCATGAGAACACGTTCGTCATGCCACAGCAGTAACTCTACATAATTAGCAAAAGCAAGTAGTTGAGATACCTTTCCCTTTTTTTATGACTTACCAAGGCACGATTCATGGACTTGGGGGCCAAGATAGAAGTCCAGTGGTACTGTCCACCCGCGGTGGGATAAACACTAGCCAGCTCAGCCAGAGTAAGAGCACAAGCACCGATCAAGATGAGAGTGAGGATAGGTCCGTAAACCAAAGTAACCGGACCACCTTGGGCAATGGCGAGAGATACTGTGCCCGCCATTCCGGCCCAACTGTCGCATATAACCCAACTCGCAGATATAGTCTCTAGTCTTGTCATTTGCCTCGCCCCACCTCCTTGAAGGCTGAGGCTCTTGACCTGTATTTGTTCGACATCGCCTTCTCCATGAGTGAGTTCTGCGATATCATGAGCGAGATCCATTGTGAGGGGGATGGAGGCTGGATGAGAATGTAACTCACGCCTTTCAAAATCATAGGAAGCTGCAAGTAAAAGGCTCTCAGTACAATGAATCAATGGGGGTAGGGTTTCAGAAGTTCACACATACCATTCTTGCCTTTAAGCTCCTCTATACCCATATTGTATTATTTGTCAATAAGATGAAGATGAAGCCTGTAGAAACAGCACATTCAAGTTCTTAAGAATGATTGAATATGCTGAAAGTAGTAAGAATTGATAACATTCCTCATAGTTCGGCACATAGCGATAAGAGACGTGCGGGGAAGGGAGATCTCACAATTACCGAAAGAGGAAAGAAATGAGAGAAACGGCTTGATAGCGGTGGCAAAGCCCCATAAAATAACCAAGCAAATTGAACTACACGAACCACTTCCTACGTGTCCCGAGTGCTCTTAGATAGGCTTCTAAATCACGATTGTGGACATCTAAAAGCCTATCTTCACGAGATATGAGTCCTCACAAGATACGAGTCTGTAATGTCTTTTACGTGATTTTAAAGTTGACATGGTAGTTCAGCTGATAGAAGTTGCTGGGTATGAATTTTATGTGATAAATGTAACGTGAGCAAGTATACCAGAAGAATGAAAGAATGACAAGTGCAAAAGCCATCGAATTTAGAAGTAGGTCATGCAGATGAAACTTCTAGGGTTGGAATGTAGAATATAGCTTGCATATTCGGGCGAGTCAACGATGCCATCAACAATGGAAATAGGCAAATGTATCGTGCACAACAATGAGACCTTACCTCTCAAAACTATCCTCGAGATACAAGCGTCCTGTGACTTTATTGGAAGTCTACTTTGTAACTTTCGAAGCAAAACTACAATAGGAGCAGAATACTATCAAGATATAGGGTATGACCTGTGTAGGTATATATTATGTATATATTGCTATTTATAAAGAAGAACGCAGGGCAGGAGCAGGTAGAAGCTCCTCCTTCACCGTCATAGCCGCCCGTGTACCCTCTTCAATAGCACCGTCAATGAAGCTTCGCCAACCAACAGCCCAATCAGAGTTTGCAAAGACTACGTTCCCATGTCGAGCCCGCATCGCATCCAATGAAGTGGACAAAAGTTGAGGAGGCGAGAAAAACCAGGCGCCCTTGGCAAACTCATCTTTGCTCCAATTATGGAATACCAGTCGCTTGATATCCATGTTTCCCGGAGCCATGCTCTCCACGGCCTTTTTGGTTTCGTTGATATCTTCCTCGGGATGGATGTGGTTGCTAGAGCCGCCGAAACAAACGACGTGGGTGTTTCCTGAGGGAGTGGTTCCATCACCAATGGCATATATGAGCTTGTTAAAGGGATAAGAGATTCCAGTCCATGAACGCATGTCCTTGTTCGAAATCTCAGCGTGAACCTTCACACATTGGTTGACATGACCGATGTTTGTGGCTGTCGCTCGTTGAGTATCGAGAGGAGGATTGAAGGACACGGAGTTGAGGACGTTGAGAGGAATTGTAGAGACCAGACGAGTGCCGGAAAACTGGCGCCCATCACGAGTGGTAAGAGTGACTTGATCACCTTGATCGCTGATTGAGCTGACAGGTGTGTTGAATACATATGAGAGTCTTCCGGTGGCTAGTGCCTCTTTGAAGAATTTGATTGCAAAACTCGATTGACCTCCCTTGAATTTGTATGATATCAAATAATCCATGCAGCCACGGTAGGAGTACCCGCATAGTGCCCACCAATGAAGGAATTCAAAGAAGCTGGTCGTTTCCAATGTCCCACAGCTGCAAAGAAGGACAAAGCTCTCAAGAGATGCACGTTCGTTGGGAGTAAGAGACAGAGCAATAGCATCAATCCGGTCCTGCGCGGACATTTCATCATAACGGCGAGCCTCGGGGACATGGAACGCGTCGTGGGCGTAAGGAATGACTTTTCTACCCATGTCACCATCGACATTGACAAACTTCTCGAGGCCAGCAGCAAGTATAGTGTCCTGAAATGCAAAGTTAGTGATCGTTTCAGGTGTACCCGGTACTCAAAAAAAAAAAAAAAGGGAGAGAGAGACAGATACGAACCTCTTCTTCGTGGCTCATTACTGAAGTACCCTGGTTTGTGCGCAACTGGAAGTGATTTACTCCACGCGAGAAATCAAAAGATTCTTCCAGCTCGGTCCGCATGTTGTATCGCGAGATCTCGCGCCAAACGTGAGGCTGACCCCAGTGGACCCAAGTTCCACCCATCTCAAACGGATAGTCGCCAATGTTGGAGGACCAAGAACGTCCACCAATCCGATCACGAGCCTCAACCAGAAGAACGCGAAGGCCTGTATGATTTAGCAAGATATTCCACAAAATCAAATCGAGATGTAGGTATGCATAACGCACCGGCAAGGGTCAAGTCACGAGTGGCCGTGAGACCAGAATATCCGCCGCCGACAACGATAACATCATACTTTTGCGGCGAAGACGAGATATTTGTAGGGGGCGAGATGACACCAATTGAAGGCACACCTTGTGCAAGCCCAGTTTCAGGCGTCCATTGGAATCCGTCACGGGAAGTCATCGTGATGGTAGTCTAGTGCCCAAGAGAATAAAAGTATAAATAAAAAGTGAAAAAAGAATAGGAGAACCTGTCCCTGTTATAAAACCTTCCGAGCTTCTAGGAAAGAGATAATCTCTTGGTGATTATAACGTCCATAATGGTATGATCTTGGGCCCAATGGAAGATCGCGATAAGAACAGGGATAGAAAAAATACCCAAAATAGCTAAAAAAGGGAGATTCTTATCCCCCACAAGAGTCTAGCGGAGAAGATTATATTCTATCTGATTCTGAAGATAGTTGCAAACCGTGTTATGTACAACATACTCCGCAGGTGAGGGTGGATTAAACAAGGCTGCTGGGAGGCGATTGCAAAATTACCTGATTAGGATAGTAAAGCGAGAAACTAATCGGAGCCAGTTAGCCTTGGGATACACAGCCGCTAGACCGCTTTAGGTATACCTCCAGCTGTCCGCTATTCTCATCCGTACAACACAAATTATGTCCCTATACTATCCTTCACCATCAGATGACCTATATTACACCTATTCCTACTTAAGAGACCGTATGGATGGCACAAAAAAGGCCGTTCGATAAATTGGCTGGTCAATCATCGAAGCATCTTGCTGAAAATCTAGCTCTCCTGGCCTGAGCCCTACATTTACTTCGCTATACCAGAGATAAGTCTTTAACCTTTCATATGTCGAAATAGCCGCCGTGGCATGAAAGTTTGATCGCCTTACTTGTCGGTAAGTATAAACAGGAACTTGGCAGAATTGCGAAGGGCATATAATGACATTGATGAAGCCTTCGTATTTGAGAAACAATACCCATGACGCGATCCGTACTAGATCGTAAGAAAAGTAAGTGATGCTATTAGCTTCAGAACCCCGATTAGCGTCCGGTATGTCTCGAGGAGACCGGACACATGCCAAGTTTCAAAGTCCGATTGACCTTGGGGTTTCTTATTGCGGGATGTTAACTGATTAACAGCGCCTTTTGTATTGGGTATCCCCCGGTTGTGGTTGAGATAACTTTTCCCACATCTCGGGCCTATAACATTCACTCAGTCCCGCCGTGTGAGCTGTGGTCGCCTTAAATAGATGAAGCCTCACCATAGGATTCACCCATCGCTGCGATCACTTGGTTGACTTGGGAATAGGCCTCAGAACAATGTCCTACATAAATGATGCGAGAGTCTGACAGCGAGACTGATAATAACTCTACTACAGTGGTCACCTCGAAACCAGGATTTGAATCTAACTTCTGTTCTTTATAGAGCAAGGGTTCGAAGAAATCTTATGTGATTGCACTTGACGGTCTTGGTTAGCCCGCCTTTGGATAACAGCCGCCCACATAGCCCTCCGCATAATTACATAACAGATGGAAAAATGATGGTTACTCTTCAGGAACACCTCGTTCTTGCATTTTTTCCGCTGCGTTCTGCTTCCCGCTCTCTGTAACAGTGGGATTGTGCTGCGCGCTTGATATGGCCAATTAGTACGCGCATAAAGAACAGGTTGCCCTGAAAGTTATACTCACGCCTTAAGCCCAGCGGAAACCCTTACTGGGTTTTTTCTTTTATCGCCTCTTGCCTCGTAAAGTTCCTCGCGAGGCTGGTCACCGCCAATTTCATCAAGCATTGCTTGCGCATTCTGCTTTGCCTCTTCTGAAACTTTTGGGTTGCTCAGGGTACTATCAAGATATCATGTTCTTAGATGTGCTCTTTATTGTTCATGTTCATGGTGAAAAATATAATACTCACGCCTTGTACCCGCGCATTGCGTTGAGCCTGTCTTCTGCTGACATGCTAGTCTAGGTGATTCGGCGGTCTCAATAGCGATAACGAGGAACGGATTTGAATAAGGTCTGCTTTAAACGAGTATTCCTGTGCTTATATGCGTTATAATTCTCAGCGGGTTGCCACGCATCATTCCTTCGTCACTGTATCTTGACAGAAATTTTGCCCCTTGCAATGAATTCATGATGCCATGATCGCATCACCTTCGACAAAGCCCCTAGGCAACGAGGATAAGGCTACCCCACCATGGAGCCTTCGGTATATTAGTTAGAGCACATGTTTTGGCGTTTCGAGTCGCAATTAGTCTTTTGCCAATGAGGAATTGTGAACAGGGCGTTTGAAAGGGGCCAAAAAAAGGCCGTCTCAGGATGAGCCTTGAGGGAAGTGATTCCTCCTCGAGGTTACAGGCACTCAGGAGCTCATGCAAATAGTATGAGACAATATGATGATATTTCAAATTGTGTGAACTATCCGTAAGGGAGCAAATAAGGGTACAATACCTGAGTCTAGAATTATGAAACGGGTTACATGGCTACAGAGATGTTATCAAGTATGAAAGGAGACTTGGATAGTGCAAATTCTTAAATGCTTAGATACATAACGGCGACCCGGAAATCTTTACTTTTACCGTTCTGATAAAAATATATGCTCAAGAATGGAATCTGAATGAATGTATTAATAAACTGTGTTGGGCCCTTTTCATCCCCCAATCTCAAGTTTGATCAGTTCACAAGCTTTTCATCAACACAGGACAAGCTAGCGGAGTTCGAATCGCCATAGCAAATAGGACCCCACGGCGATCATCTTATTCTTCTGGCTGTTCGGAGTGGACTGAGTGACCTCCTTTTCGGCCTGCTTCTTTGGCCCTCGGGTCCCCGGGCTGAAAACTTCCACTTGAAGCATGGCCGCCTTTTGAGGCAATGTTTTTCTGGAAATTTATGAGCACATCTCATATTGATACATAACAGATACCTTGACTAACCTGCTTTTCGGGATCCATAGAAGCAAAACCGCTTCGATGACTAGACTGTCCGCCCTTTCGAGCAATATTCTCTACCTCTTCGTGAGGTCGGTTGGAAAAATTACCAGGGTTGGGGTTATCAGACATGGTGGTATTCGACGTTGTACGAGCGCGAGATCACTTGAATATGTATGGTGGGTTCTCTTGGCTTCAGAGCGAGATAAAGCAGATAATTATGTATATTATATTTATATAGGAATGCTTCGGTCGAGCTACTTTACGAGTAAGATTTATTGAGTTAACTTGACGTCAAACTATGGTCTATATTTTGTATCTGTCGCCATTGCCAAACGCCTATGATTTCGTAATGACCAATTCGTGACGAACTTCAGACCGTGTGACTAGTGTCTCTATCTTGATAATTCAAGGACAGACGGATCTCAATGCCAATATTGACTTTATTCCTATGTTCGAGAACAGGTCAGAATCTTTTGTTATAGGAATAACACGTCATCATGAGTCGAAACACTGTTTGTTCCAAGGCTTTTCGTTGGGCGAGTACTTTAACGAAAATCAGACGGCAAAAGGCCAGATCTGCGCAGTTCCGAGGTCGAAACATTGGCTGCCTACATACCAAGGTGGGAAACTGAGCGCGAAGCCCTTCAATCCTTACAGCTCACGCGGACAGCAGATTCTTGTCGCTTTTACCACATCACTTGCTTGATTCAAGAAAAGCAAAGGTCATAATTTAGATGTACCCGGCAGTGGGAGGTGTTCATATCACTCGAATCTCTTACATGGACCCCCCAGTATGTAGTTGCACATCTGATGATGCTGGAGAATGAGTTGACAATCTTGTTGACATCTGAATATGAAGCAATAGTGACGATAGTGTATAGTTGGTAATCTATGTAGCAGACCCATGGTGTAGCCAGTCTAAGGCCCGCAGGTCAGTCTTCAGCCGGGACATATGGGGGAAACATGATTTAGCGTGGGCGACTCCTTGCAGGCATCCACTCAGCCACTCCTTCGTTATATTGTTACAAATTGACGACTGTGATAAAATCAGTGCGATTAGCTGTAGCTACTCACTGAAATGTGTGATTACCCAATACTTAAAGTACTTGTGAGGTTTGCAAACGACTCCCTACAGTCATATTGAAATGTCATCAACCCTTCCACAAATCAAGTTTCATTCTCTGAACTTGGCTTCCGTACTTTCAGTTGAATTTAAAAAGAGCTTCAGTGTATACAAGATACAGCAGAGCACCTTACATGTGAAAATTACGTGCTTCGATCGATGGACGTTCCGTGATTTTATGATATCGGAAAGCAAGGCAACTCTGTATTCAGTTTCCCGTACAAAATGATAGATAGGTACAAGTCAATTAAGCTTCGGGCAGATCGCTTTCATCCGGTCCCTCATTGTACTTGTTAGAGGTTCCAGGCTTTGCATGACGCAGACGGTCTCCCTTTAGAATCCTTGATTCATCGATCACTTCGCTTTCGTCCTCCTCTAGACCTTGTCAACAGTCTGCATTATAACTTCATAATTGGTAAAAGGAATATGAACTCACCAAGCTGTTGGTTGGAGTTAGAATAGGGAGGTTGAATTGGGTCTTCAAGTGGCTCGCTTTCTCCTTGGACAGGGACTTGATTTCTCAAGCTTGGATCGGTCTCATGGGCATATGAGTTGTCTGTGAAGTTTGCAGTCACGGGAGAAGAATCGTTCTGTCTTTCATAATTATAATCTGCAACTCGTTCGGCACGGGTCGACATAATGCTATAACTTTCGAGTAGACCGTCTCCGATATTTAGAGTAATCTCCTTTAAAAGAAGGCAGAAGCATCTGAAATTTATATCAATTATTACATAGTCAGGGATTGGCCTTGCTACTTATTTTACAACTGTTCTGACGCATAAAGGACGTAACCCAAAGCCCGTGGCAAGCGTACGTCGTTATGATTAGGGGGGCTGATTATTTTGCTTACCGATCAAGCTAAACTGGATGACATGTGAAGCCATAAAATGCGAGGTATCGGTTACAGCTACTTGAATAACACGATCCACCTTGCTAAAGGCATAATCCAGCGCCTAGCTATATATTTCCAACCGGATGCACACCCGCGCTTCAGAGTCTAGTTCCTTGATATAGGTATAGTAGTTTACCCAGGACTTCACTGGACCGTGGAACCAGAGGGCCTATAAGAAGGCTTCCGGAATCTGGAATGGATACAGTTATTAGTCAGTCATGCGCTCGAGGTATCCTTTTAGTCGTATCATCCGGGCTAGAGAGTCTTATGCACCACCAAAAATATCACACATTGCTCTACTATCGGATTGATAATTACTTGCATTCTATCTCCAAGAGGTCAATGGTTCAAAGTACCATTCACCCCCAATCATCATCCATCATAGCCTATCGCTTAGAAGGAATATTAGGTCAACCTATAGACTTCTCGCCCAATTCCACACTGTCTATTGCGCAATCACCCTCTCACTATATCCAATAGCATTTGGGTTGTAAACAATATTTACTGAGAGTATATTACATACGACCATAGGGTGTGGAAAACAGGGCTTCCCGTCCGCTCAGCCGTACTTAAGCCACATATTCTGCACGGCCAATACTCAATGTGCCCTCAGCACCCAAGCGGCACTCTAGGGTGAGTGCGGGTGATATGGGTGAGAAGTCTTGAGACTGGGGTGAGAGAGGTGAGAACGGGGTGACAATTCTCACCCTTAAGGTGATAGGGGCCAACTCACTCTAAACCAATATCAGTTCTAAAAAAATACAAATAGCCTACTCCCGAGGCGCTTCTCTTAGTCTGCCATGATTTTCTTTGAATTTCTTTACTAGCTAAAATATATTCCCTAAACGGAATATCCCGAAAGCACTCTAGGAGCGTCTCGCACGTGCGATATCACGTGGCTTTACACGTGACTATTAAGACGAGAAGGAAAAAAAGGGCAATACTATATACTACCCTAAGCTAGCGCCTACTACGCTAGAAAAATATAACCGTATAGTTGACAATTAGGCACTATAAGCTTCGCTCGGATTTAACCGATTTTGGTTCCTAATTATCAGTAGATAGAGGATTTCCCGCAACGAGTCTATAGACCCAAATTTTCCTAACCTACCTATTCCGACTCCTGAACTTTTAAAACTTTTCGTAGAGTTTTATATCAAATTGTGTAAAAAGCTTCTATCTTAATAGTTAGCTTGTAATCACTTCACCAGCTTTATATCGAAGTAGGAGCGAGAAACTTCTTAATCCCTTCCCAAGGAAGTCAAGGATAACGTTCTTAATATAAGAGGTAATAATTATCCTTTTAGGAGCTCGCTACTAACAAAAACAAAAGTATATTAGGACCGAACTCATAGTAGACTATAAGCTCTGTATAAAGCCTAGAGAGTGGTTCCTGGTTAATAGAAAGGATATAGCTTACCTACTTCGACACCTATTCGTGGATAACTATTACGATTATATATATAAGAGAGTATATATATAGACTATAAGTTCTCTTTCTTTATTTACTGGCTTAGGTATAAGAGTAGGGGCTATTGTCGAATTAAGTGCTTATCGTAAATCAAATAAATACTTATATTATAGGGTTTATATCTTGACGATTACAATTCCTGATTATACCAAAACTAATAGATAATTATTAGTATCTTTTATTTTATCTTAAATAGAGTAAGGAAAGGGGATCTCTAATACGTTAGGTAACAATTAATCCCGAATTCTTGAAAGGCTAGTATTATCGCGACGATACTACCTTATAAGTTTACGAGCTATAATCATTATATCTAGAAATAGCTAATATAATAAAATTAGACCAAAAAATTGGTTTAGGGAGTATCCGGTGCTTAGGATAAGTTTTATTTTCTAGGTAATTGTCTATAGGGTAGCGGATAGTGCCTTTAAAGGGCTTACCACCGTGACCGAGGTTCTTACTGTAAAGCTACCTAATAGAAGAGAGTTATAGACCTTAGAATAGAATAAAACCACAAAAGATTTACTATTCTTTAGAAGGGTCACTGCTTAAGGACCTAACCTAATAAGGGCGTTGACCTTCTCCTTATTACGGTATAACTTTACTACCTTAGCCTAGCGGGATAGGTTTAAAGACTAGTTACGCGTGTATAGAATTCGAGTAGGTATTATAAACAAGATCGACCGTAAGTATATTTATACTGTTATATCCTAATTTTACTAACAAATTTTAGCTAAGGCTTCTTAGGCTACTTATAGCCAGGCTCTTAATCACTAGAATCATAATACCTATCTAAAATATTAGTCTTCTCTTAAGGTATTAGATATATAAGCCTTATTCTATGATTTAGAGCCTAACCACAAATACCACGATATAGAACAAAGTATATCTTATCACCGAGACTCGAATATACCGCTAAAACTCAATATAGCTACGACCACACAATTCGAATCTAACAATAAAATTGTTATAATCAATCAGAGAATTACCTACTTAATATAGGAGATTGCTAGAAGACTAGAAGAGAATAGGGATCTCGTATTTAAATAGGATCGTCTCTATAACAAGAAAGTAAAGAGATTGCTCGCCTAGAAGAAAGATTTTATTAAAAACTAGTAGGACACTTTGTACACTAAGTATATCTCTAGGAATAACTTCTCTAAACGCGACCTAACGCCTCTTTTCGATATCTACAAGAAATATCTACTAGAGCGCTCCTATCTTAGCGAGAATTTATTGAATAAGGCTACTCTAGATAGTGAACTTAGTCGATAGTGCCTAGAAGATATAGTCACTATTTATATATCGACAGAACGTACTATTTACTACCCTAGTATAGCCCCTAAGGAAGGCTGTTGTCTAGTATACAATAAGTCTATACTAGAGTGAGTATACCTAAAGAGTATTATAGATCAAAAAGTTGATAAGAAGATAGTATTCCACTATAAGGGAGAGCTAAGTATATACTATAGTGTCGAAGAAAATCCTTAAATAGTACACAATACTAGTAGCGCTATAGGAACGAAAAGCGCGCCTATCGACGCGTATAGCGTAGTTTTGTTTAATTTTGTTATCTTTACGCTGAACTCTTCCTTAATAAAGATTCCTGGGATAATTATTATAAATGCTATCTCGATAACCTTAACCCCCAATATAGTCTTTTGACTTTCCGCTCTACACTTATTACGCTAGGGTTCTATCTATTCTACCTAGGCGATAAAAGCAAGAAACCAGACAAGAGATTCCAACAATAGGTTACAAAATCAACTCTTCTAAATTATATTAACGAACACTTAGCGTTAATAGACTCTTTAGCCGTAGTCTTCTACCCTTATCTATGTTACGAAGAAAGGAAGTATATTAACAACTTATATCTCTAGTGGCACTTCTTTAATATATATTCTATAGAAGAGCCCCGGTCAAACTGTGTCAAACGAAAAAGAAAGTGGTAGCTTTAGTTAGAGCCCGTAGAAACTGCTTTTAGGAATTTAAGCGATAAAACGTTACCGAGTTTAGAGGATTATTTTCTCACTAACACTCTACTAACTAGTTTTAAAGATTCGGATATAACCCCTATAGATGATTTATTTATGGAATTTATACGCTTAGATAACGACTAGGCGTAGGGTATTGACTAGGATTCTATTGTTGATAATAACTATTACTAGAAACGAAGGTACTTAGTACACAATTAAACAATACTAGATTAATAGTATATTTATTAGGCATAGATTTAGTATTAATACTTATATCTTTCTTCACATACTTTCCTTAACCAAACCCTAGGTGCGTAGACACCCTTAGATATATATCCCCTCGGTATAGCTCTATAAGTATATATTTTATAGGCTCACTCACCGGTTCTAGGTAGGCTATTAGTGATATATAAAGTATAGGTCTTAGTACTTAATCTCGCTCTAATCCTATCTAGTATTTTATAAGTAAAGTAATTGCCCTAGTATTACCTATATTACTAGTTCGACGGCCTATACCAATTAAGCGTATCTATTTACAAAACCCGGTTTTATAAAACGAGGTCACTAGGCTCGAATACTATAATATTTATAGAGAAGCGAAACTTAAAGGAAGTCTCTTTTATATTCACGCTAGTAATATAGAAAACCTAGTAGGTAAAACCATATCTAAAGAGATCTATATACTATCGATCTTTTCTCTGCACACTATAGGGTCGGGTAACGCGGTTCTATCTAAGTAGAAAAAGAAAGTGAGTGTAATCGTTCAATCCAAGAGCGGGAGGATAAGCTATATTATAAATTATATTCTAAGGGACAAGGCTATTTATATAGCTACCCTATAATTATCTTATCTAGAGTTAGCGTAGCTAGATATTTCGCTTAATAATACTGAAGTGGATAATAGAGATAATACCGATATCGAAGGTATAGATTCCGATGATTCCGGTGCCGATAAAGATAATTGCGATAAAGATACCGATAAAGATAGTGAAGATAGGTCGGAAGTAATACACAAGCTACCAACCTTAAATCCGTTATCTAATCGACACCCTACCTTATCTCTATTTTAGTTATAGAATTTAACCACCCTATTTTCGTTTATATCTATCTATACAATAGGTAGGATATTGTCTTTCGTGCTACCATATACGCCTATATCGAGCTTAGAGTACTCCTTACGAATACTATATTTAATCATACTTAGATCTAGAGTTTCGTTAGTACTAATAGTATATCGGTGGCACTATTACGCACTAGAATAATTGTCTATATTAAGGAGACCAAAAGATAATAAATATCCTATATAGCTATAGTTATCGTTAGACTATATCACGTATTGGTAATTATAATCGATAACCGTGAGACTACTACCTAAGGCGGTGTGTATATAGACACTAGCGAGAAGTAGGAAGATAGAGAAAGTTATATTTCCAATATTTATAAGGATTAAAAGATGATAGATAGATTGGTATCTCTAGCCTTAAGCTATTGTGAAAAGCGACGATTTTGTACAGTATATATATATCTACGAATTTAAATGTCTATAAGTCTCTTGATACACTGTGATAAAAACCGTGGTAATACACGCGCAATACGCTTTGCGGTACACTTTGCGGCACCCTTTGCGATATACTCTGCGATATACTTTGCGATATACTCTACGACACACTTTTTTGAGTCGAGGTCCCACTAATTCCTAACTTAATTTTAGCTCCTAAGCTAGCTTGCGTTCCTACCCCCCTAATATATAGCTTTGTCGAGATAGATAGGTGGAGTCGTGATACGTACTATCTGGTGGCATAGTGCTAAGGTGGATTGGGGTTACTGCTCTAGGAGTCGCACTATAAACTCAAGTATTAGCGCTGTTTTATAAATTGCTTGTATAGTTTAATGATTTTTTAGTCTATAGCCTAACTTAGATATATAAAGGTAGGTATTCTTCTATATTAATCCTCGATCATATATCCTAAAGTCTGTTAGGCTTAAACATAAGTTTTGTTAATATCTAACAAATACTATATATACTAATACCGCCTAGAATAAAGGGAATTGTTACCTGGTTTTATATCTCTTGTCATGATATTGATTCCTATTGTATAAAGATCAAATTTATAGGAAATAAGCCTAGATCCTATTTTGTTTGTATTTAGTTGTATTTACTCCCTACTAAGCGGTGTATTAATATTAATACACTATATATAAATTGCTTAGAGGAAACCAACCTTCTGTTATCGAAGGATTAGCGAGAGTTTATCTACAAGAAGAAGGATTAAATCATATTTGAAGAACGTATTGTTTGGGTAAAGTAGGAGTGGGACCTTTAGGTTACTTCTCGCGAATACCAATATATTAATAAATCTGTGCAATATAATAGGGGCTTATATATTTATCTATTTAGTGGTGTTGGTATATATTAGTCTTATTTCGAGTTCTTAAGGCGGGGCGGATCAGAAAATCAGACTAAGGGCAAGATTGTTAGATATAGGAGGAGTTAGCATAAGAACACTATTATAAGTCTAAGTTCTATAGTACGTATCTATTCTGCAATTTTATATATATAAATTCTATAACTCTAACTAGAGTACCACTAAGTAACTTAAATTATTCGAGACCTTACTATAGTAGTCTAATATAGACGCTATTCTAAGTTATTTACCACTATACTAGAACACTACTAAGAATAGGGATTAGGGGGTAGAGTAATCATAATAGGGTATTTTTAGCACTCTGATTATTTATCGTATTTTTCTAAGTCTATAGGCGAGTCGAAATTAGTTGTAAGTAGATATAGTAGTCTACTAGAGAGTAGGGACACACTAGAGAGTAGGGACGCACTAGATAGTAGGGACGCACTAAAGAGTAGGGATATACCTAGAGAGTAGGAACACACTAGAGAGTAGGGACGCACTAAATAGTAGGGACGCACTAAAGAGTAGGGATATACCTAGAGAGTAGGAACGCACTAGAGAGTAGGGACGCACTAAATAGTAGAGACACACCTAGAGAGTAGGAACGCACTAAAGAGTAGGGACGCACTAAAGAGTAGGGACACACTAAAGAGTAGGGACACACTAGAGACTAGGGACACACTAGAGAGTAGGGACGTACTAGAGAGTAGGGACGCACTAGATAGTAGGGACACACTAAAGAGTAGGGATATACCTAGAGAGTAGGAACGCACTAGAGAGTAGGGACACACTAAAGAGTAGGGACGCACTAAAGAGTAGGGATATACCTAGAGAGTAGGAACGCACTAGAGAGTAGGGACGCACTAAAGAGTAGGGACGCACTAAAGAGTAGGGATATACCTAGAGAGTAGGAACGCACTAGAGAGTAGGGACGCACTAAAGAGTAGGGACGCACTAAAGAGTAGGGACACACTAGAGAGTAGAGGCTAGGTATAACGTATAGACCTACTAGAGTCGGTAAAGCGCGATACGGGTTTAAGTGTTGTAGGTATATTTAAAATTATAATAGCGCTTCTTTCTATCCCTTCGTGCAAGATTTCTCTCCTCTTTCATTTAAAGCAAAATAAGAAGAAAATGGAAGTAAGCGAGAACCTTCTTAGTCACCGAATAAACACCCTCACCCTTTAACGGCTACAATATTATTAGGGATACATAATTATAAAGTTATAGTATCTTAGATATAAAGAGTATAACCTAATAGGAACCCGAGAGATCGCCGAGAAAAATATAGAGAAACTTTTTAGGATATTTAAAATCGAAGGCTATAGTAACCTAGAGCCTAAGTATAGAGTTACCGCGACTATTGATCAGGAGGTCCTAAGAAAAGCACTTACAAAATCAAATCTTACCCTAGAAGCACTTATCGATCCAAGAAATCAGCCAAATCTCCTATTAGAAGGAGAGGATATTATTACTTATGTATATAGGAAATATCATCTAAAAGCTAGCGAGAGATTTAGAGAAACTATATAGCTAGTTAATCTTTATCTAAATAGTTAGGTAGTATTAAAAAATATCGAATAGAGACTAACAATATTATAGATATCTCGATCGATACACTCACCTAATTACGCAAAGAATCGACACAAAGTATAAGCTTCACTGTCGGCGAAATATATCGTACCCTTAGGTCATACCAAATTTCACAAAACCCTACTTAGGAGCAGAAATGGTAGGCTAGACTTAGTTCCGAAGACTATTGTAAATAAATATAACGCTTATAACGTAATAATTAACGGTGTCGTATTTTAGATAAGTTATTACTATATATTAGGCTATAGAAGCCACTACGATCTTCCTAAATCACTAGGATATTAGGCCTAAAATGCCTAGAGGTATATTTGATAATTGTATACCTCGTATATAGCTAACTTCCTTCCTAGATACTAAACCATTATCTATACGTAGTCCTAGAAATATAGACAAAATTTCTTGAATCTTAGGATAGGTAGCTTATCGACTCGGATTCTGTGTCCTATATTAAAGGATTAATACCTAGTATCGCTATAGTAGACCGAAAACGCATCACTAATCTTATAGATTTAAAAAAGATATTTCCTCTTCTTAGAATAACTCAATATAGGGAAGTCCTTAAGGGTCGCCTTCTCTAAATACCTAGGAGGATATTATCTCTTACTACGCTTATCTAAGATACACTATTTATTAAGAGACTAGTAAGAGCGCTCTACTATCTCTGTCCTCTAAAATTTAAACAAAGCCTTCGAAAAGTTATACTTACTTAATAGAATCTTATCGGAACCGGAGGTCTCCTTAAAGTCCAGATAATAGAATAGGAGTTCATAATAATATAACGAACTAAATACCTATTTATTATATCTATACTATAGCTTTAGCTTTTTGCTTATAGGTATTTCGTCCACTAAGGAGGCCACGTAAGAAATTTTCGACAATAATTCCAATATTTCACTATAGATATAAGCCTAAGTAAGCTTACTATATTGGCTTCCTAATTAGGCTTTAAGTCGGACTAAATTAGGTAGCTTCGAAGTAGAAATTTAGGGTAATATATAGTATAAGGCTTTTTTAAATCTCTAAGTAGGGAGGAGTTCTATAAATACGAAGAGCGAAAGGTACAATCGATATTAAATAGACTTTAGAGTATATTACGGAACCTTCCTAGTTCTCTGGCGGAGGATAATAGTATAGCCCGATTTATAATAAATAACCTAGAACTCGAAGTAAGCCACCGATTTAATAGCCTAGCACAAGATAAGTATCTATAGTAGTGTAGAAACATTTTTTACAATTAAATCTTTAGTCCCGATTAGCCACTATCGGAATATATAACATCGCTCGGCGTAGTAAAAGATATTATTAGGTTATTCTTTGGCAAAAGTTCATTTTTTCAGCTAATTTTCGATAAACGATAAGCTATACCTATCTAAAGTCCTATAAGGCTTACTAAGACCGCGCCAGGATCTATCGATCCTAATATAGATTTTGAAGAGTGGTATCTACAAGTTTAACCTATAAATCTATCGCCTTCGGAAGTACCCTAGCCCTTAATAAACTCCAGACCAGAGTTAGTAGAGGAAGATACCAGTGAGCTAATAGAGTTAGCTAATTACCTAAGTAGAACTCCCGATCGTGATACTCTACTGTTGGCAGCTAGTTTCAAGGAAATGTCTTAATAAATAGAAACAAAAAACTACCTATCCGTTCGAAATAAGGTACCTAAGATCCTTTTAACGTGGTATTAATCATATCAAGAAGTGATCGTTTTATACCTATTCGAATTAAGAGTCTATTATAAATTCTTCTTAGGGGGTGGATTTAACCTACAAGTAGTCTTATACGATCTAGTAAGTGATTATCTCTTTATAGTGATTAATAAGTATAGAATAGGTACCCTAGATATAAATAAGGTATATAAAGCAGCTTTAAAAGAACGGTTAATACTTATCGGGAAAATAGATAATCTAAGTCATAGAAATGACATAGAAGGGACAATTTCATTAGATAAACTCTATGATTACGTTCTATACTATAATATTTATATAGGAAAGAGAAAGGCAGATTCTATAGATAATCGATCGGGAAAGCGTTATCAGGAAACAGCACCTGATGAGTAGTTATAAGGAATAAAACTATTTTCTTGTTCTTCAATCAATTTTTTATCTTATAGAGGATATTACTCCCTCCGCCACTTATCTATAGTTTTACACCCCCTTTTAGTCTAATAATAAGCTTCACTCTTATCTAAAGGATCATGCCTCTAAGCAGATAGCGGTAGTAGTTAATAACACCATAGTGGCGTACTACGTAGTATACCTTGTGGGTACTGCGATAGATACTTCGCCTATAATAAATTCTGATAGGCCTTGTATCGCCCTACTATCTTTTATCTTAGTGTAGCGCTCACTATGCCTTCTATACTTAGAATATACCGGGTAGATACTTATAAGCTATATAGTTAAGTGAACTAACCGGAGCATAGGAGTCTAGATTGTAAGTATAGCGGCTTACTACTATAGTTATATATCTATATCGGAATACGAAGTATAGAATATAGACCTATTTATAGCGTGGAAAATCCTCTAGGTGAACAATATAGGTTAAAACAAAGAAGCTTTACTATTTATTATAGATATAAAAATAGTACCATAAATATTTTTTTGGCTTTCTATCACTTTAATTATAGTCCCGACGGACGAAGTTCTATTTCGTTTGTATATTTAGTAGCCTCGATAGGTAGAGATTTATAAACCTAGTAATTAATATTCTTCTTAGCTCCTTATATTTTATATCTAATATATCCTATCAAGGTGAATATCATTAATACGTTTACTAATACAGATTCCTAAAGGAAACGCCTAGTGGTAATAACGCTTTAAACTCTAATATCCCCCTAGGTTTACTAGATAAAGAAACTCTTCCTATCGATCTATTATTATATATTCACGTCTTAAGTTTAAATAATACTAACCTTTAGTAGATCCTCTGCTAAACTAGAAGTATTTACCTTCTCGACAAACAACTACGCTAACTTAGAAAGACATAGCATACCTAGGCCTTGCTTAGGGTCGCCTAAATAAGTTAGTCGGTCACTTAGTAAAGTCATAATAGACCTAATAGCCTCGATATCTTCTTTGATACTATCGCGAGACCTTCTCTTTATTAAACACTCCCCTATATTTACTGTCTAATAGTCAGAGTTAGTCATTATATTTATTAAGTACTATACCTATCTTGATTTCGCCTTTCGATGTGAGAAGTATATTACTACAATCTAATAAGGGATAAGAGGTCTTTAACTTGTAGTGGATAAAAATAATCCCTCTAAGGATTTCCTTATAGATAGTTGCTATATCTACTTCACTAAAGCGAATATTCGTTGCTATATAACTAAGGCTAATAGCTAAATAATGATATTCGTATACGATATAGAATTTCCCTCTAGATTAAAAGCCTTCTATTAAATATACCAAGTTTTGGTGTATGATAGATTGAACTTGTCTAAAAGTGTGGGTGTTTTGAATGCTACACTACTTAAGAAAGTAGGTAGGTAGGTTCTTAGTGTCTTTAAGCCCTATTACGCCTAGGCCTACCTAGTTAATATTGTAAGATAGATAGTACTATACCGGTGATTCCACTTTGATAGTTAATAAGCTATTGATATTTTTAGTTAGAATAATAGGGACCCTAAGTCGATATATATAATTATTTTGGACTAATTTCTTATTAGGTTTCTTAATTTCGGTACTTTCCTTAACAATACTTTCCTTGTCGAGCCATAGTTTCTTAGGAAATTGAGTTTTGCGCTTCTCTCGATTCAAATTGGATGCTATTCTGAATTGGTTATAAAAGTAGAAATATAATATTAACACTTTATATCTAAAGTGCTATCCTTGTTTATATATTTAAGGATTATATTTTGATGACTAATTCTCGCCCTGGGCACTCTATATTCGCGGTTATATTTTTAGTGTTATAGGGTGGAGATTTAGTAAATACTTTAAAGTTACGACCGCCTAAATTTCCTGTATATCTCTAGTATTTACTAATATGTTAGGCATAGGATATGTAGCTAAATATGGTTGAAAGTAGCCTATTAGTAAATTTTCTCGATATAAGTGATTTTATATAAATCTAGTATTTTAGCTAAGAGACTAAATTAAAGAACACTTTTCTATTCTACCATACTTAAGTACTTAATTTTTGGTCAACAAAGTAACTATTGAAGAGGGGAACGCTCAAGGCTATATGCTCTGAGGCATACAGGTCGATTCAGTATCTGTAGTTCAGTCTCATACTCGATTTTGCATACAAAGAAGACAATCCAGAGAGGTGTAGAGGTGTATGTTTGTCAATCTATCTCTCCTAACTACTTATACCCTCCAGCGCTCCTAGATTACCTAATCAAACACTTAGTAAACAATAGGACAGGCGACACTATATATTCATAGAAATTCTACGCTTTCACAATACCTGATATTATATATTACCCTGTTCTCTAGCGTCTTTATATTTGTTTTGTTTCTTATGGCCTAAGGAAGGTATATAAGCTTCCAGTTTGACCCTAAGGCTAGAACTTAGGTTCGAATAGCTTGACGTTCTTATCTACGCGTGACCTGACTAAGTTCCTAATATTATCCTAAGTTTGTGCTTGTGTATATACTGGTTTGAGATAAGAGGGCGTTTCATAATAAAGGGAGAGAATAGGGCTTACCTAGGATAATCATTTTCCCTAATTGATTTCCTATCTCTATATCAAGCTACTTTTCCTAGCTAACGCGTCTGCTATATATATCGATAAGCCTATTCTCACTAATATACTAAATTTTATCTTCTGATTAAGCGCGTAGTGGATTGTAAATTAAGATATAAAGTATCTACTTAGCGTAAGTAGATAGTATTACCAAGATAGAAATAGGCACGAACGTAACCGTTATCTTACCTAACGAGGGTCTAGAGTAGGTCTTGTACGCTCTTATAATCACTAACCCTATCTAACTACTAGATAAGCGAGATTACCTATATACGTACTTAAGCCTTTTTATAGCTATTGAGAAGCTCCTTAATATATAGTAATTAAGCCGCGATACCGATACTGGTAGTAATTATAAAAGTATATCTATAGTCGCCGATATTGTAGTTTAATCTCTAACTAATAGATAACGGACCAAAAGGGCCATTAATCTAGGCCCTAAATTCTCTATTTGGCTTAATGCGATCGAAGAGTCTCTTCGTGAAACCGGAACGAGGACGAAGTAAGATTGAGATTAAAACCGCCCAGCTATTGATATTATTCTCCCACTAGCTAATAGTAAAAGGGTATAATTGAAAAACATAAAAGATTCCTACGGAAGGAACTCCTAGGTTAATACGTTGACTGGCGCGCACGACCTACGGTCTAGGTAATAATAGTGTTATTTGAGTAATATCACCTATATAGGGTTATAGATTTATTTATATATAGCTTCTTCCTATCACCACATTGCGATAGATAATACAAATTAGCTATAAAACCCCTATAATAATAAAGGTATAAGCGAAAACTAGTGGGAATACCCAAAAATTCCCTTTAGCCGACCGGATATACTACCACACTCTGTAGATCATTGTCACTATATATCTAATATAGGTGATAAGGAATACTTTGTAAACCCTTTTCTTCACTAATAGCAATATTACCAAAGCCAAAAACATACTAGCGGCCTTACTAATTTTAGTATCTATTTATATTTTAGGAGCACCAGGAAAACTTACTAGGAGACTATAGAATTGTATCTTGTTTACCTAAGATATCGCCCTTAATCGAGTAATAATTATAATATAAGCTAGAGCTTTAAATAGAGCTACTAGCGCAAATAATCGATAAATAAATCTATAGGTATAGAGGGAAACTCTAAGAAGACAAGCGCTAAACTCGTAACTACCGCCCAAAAACATTAGAAATAGGTTAATAAGTGAGAGCTTCGCTACCCTCTTACCAGTATCTTTAACAGAATAGACCCGTATAATATTGTAGGCACTAGTGCCAGCAAAATAAAGAACTATCAATATTGAATAGGTTCTTAATATACTTCTAAGACTAGCGAAGCGCTAGTAGGATTGGGTATAAATTATATAGCGCAATAGAAATGGTCGAATACGAGAAAACAAGAAAGGAGAGGTTGATAAGAATAAGAATATATATAATGTAAGGCGGTACAATACAAATAAGAGAGCTATAAGACCGAGGACTATACTGTAGATTACCTCCGGTGTTATTAGAAAATAAGTGATAGCAAAATAAGTTATTTCAGTGAAAAGTCTAGAAACTTATTCATCTACTTTGGTATATACTAGGGTCGGATTTATAGATCTTTATCTTCCTATTTACTTCTTTCCTGGCGGTACTTAAGAACCATAATACAGTGGGCCTTAGCTAGTTCGGATTGGTAGAAAATCAAGTGTATAATCAAATCCCTATACCCCTAAGTGCTAGCTTAGACTAGTTCCTATCTTAGCTTTTTGTGGAGAAAGTCCGCGACGCTACTTTTGTGTCCGCGATTCTACTTTCGTGCCTATAACTCTACCTTTGTGTCTACGACTCTACTATTGTGTCTATAGCTCTACTTTTGTTTCTGCGACCCTAATTACGTCTATACAATTCTACCGTTTTCGAGCGCCTAGAGCTTTATAAAATTAACCTTACCATAGTACTCACTAGCCTATCCCTACTATGGCTTCGGAAATCATCGATAACTCCGGATAAAATATAATTTATTTATACCCTAGGTAAATAGCCTATATCTACTAGAGAGCTATTATAATAAAGATAAAGTAGGCTAGTATACCCTCTTTGCTATCGGTAGGAGAGAAAAAAGCCTTAGCTAATCTTACTATAGTGAAGATATCTCAACCTAATAAGTTAAATAGTTCCCTCCTAATAGCTACCGCCGAGAATAATCCTAGCTACGAACTGGAAAGTCTTAGCTACAATAGGTATATTCCTAAGATATAAGTTTTTCTATCACACTTTCTACTAAGATCTTGATATTAAAATCGTATCTAGGTATAGTTTACCCTACCTTAGGTATCCTTCCTAAAAGTATTCTTTGAATTAGAAGATCAATTAGGCTAGTTATAGATAGCTAAGCCTTAGTAACTACTTTGGGTACTTAACTGTCTTAATCAAAAGAAGAGACACCGGTAGATAGGGCGCTAGCTTCTCTAAACTATAAGTTACGTTATATAAAAATATAGTGGGCCTAGTGGAGGCTTTCTTTGATAGTATATCTACTCACTTTGTTTACAATTACTATGGTTTCGCTATTAATCTTGTGTAAGTCGGCTTAACTCCTACCTTAGAATTAAGTGAGAAAGATCTAGCGAGTATCTATAGAAGTGTTCTTAGGGGCCTTAAATATATCCATAAGCAGCTCTATATAGTCCATAGGGGTGTTAACTATGATAATATCATCCTATACTCCAATAGAGCTATTAAGATAGGTAAGTTATATATAATATTATCCTTTATAGATAGGACACTAATCCCGCTAGTAAATATCGGGGATAGCATGATTAATAATAGTCCTATATCTATAGATCTTAATTGTGAAAATATTGGTTTACTATTGCTTCAACTAGGTAATTTATATAAATATATAAAAAATCCCGAAAAAATCCCTAGAAAAGCTGCCTATAGGCTGTCGAAGTATATAAATCACTTCATAGAGTATATTAGCTTATCATTATATTTATATATATTTAAGGTTTGGCTACTATTTAATATTATTTAGTCTCACGCTAACAATATATAGTATATATTCTTTTAGCAAGTGGAATCGGATAGTCGGACTTGGTATCTTATACCTTATTATCTAGATACAATCATACACTAGGGGTTTATAACACAAGAAACAGAGACCTAAGCGAGACTGTGGTTCTCTTTCTAATTCATCACTTATAGCTAAAGTAGAAAATTGTAGGACTCTTATTATTAAATTTTTTACTATTAGTTAAATATAGTTTATACTAGAGAATTTAATACTATACCTTATCCTTTATATATTCCTAGCCGTTACCCCTAGGATAATATAAAATAGAGGAAGATTAACTCTTAGGCATAGAGGGGTTATTCGTTGCGCAATATTAGATTGTGTTCTTATTTTAATCGGAGCTTGACTTATTTTCACAAAAGCAAAGTATAATCTAACGCAAAGGATACGCACTATCTATTCTCCCCTCTATATTATACTAACTTTTGTTCCGCTTGATTAAATTAGGGTGAAAGTAGGATCTTCCGAGTAACTACAAAATTTTAGTAGATATTTTATCGTATTATAAAAGGAAGTATATTCTATTAATCACATTCATAAGACTTTATATATAGAGCCTCTTTATCAGCAGCAATATTTACTAGGTCTATATCCCTATAGAGATCCTCTAATAATCGAAAATACTCCAATCTAGTGGCGAAATATCGAGTAAGCCGAGATAAATTACTCTCGGGGCTTTCTAGTAGGCCTTCTATTTTACTAAAATTTATTCGTTCTAGATTGGGATACTACTATTCCTACTAGTCTCTTAGCTTAATAGCGCCGAAACCCTAAGCCTCTTTAGGCATTATATTACTCACTAGCTATTTATTATTAGGGGGCCCACGATCTATCCTCGACTAAGTTATAGATAAATAACCCTCGCTGATAATTAAAGACTAGATAGATATCTATATCGTAGAACTTAGCGAGCTTATAAGCTTTAGTTTTTAATATCTAGGACCGCCTTATAAATTTGACTTAGGAGTTCCTATAAGGATCGGGGCCACCTATAACTTTAAGATTATTTAGTAAAAGAATCTAGAATAAGGAAAGGGGTAACGAAACTTTATAAGTCATAGAAGTTACAAGTTTTTGCTATAGACGAAAAAGGACTTATATTTATACCTAAGAGTTTCTTTATCGGACACACTATAAATATATTCTAGGTTTGATCCCGGTTTAAATAAGTGCGCGTTTCCTGGGATAAATATCTCCGGAGCCTCTTGATTCGCGCTTATATCTCCTACCCCTAACGGGATTTTAGATCACGTTATAGCTCTAGTAAGGTTGTTAGTAGGGATATCTATGGTTATCTTAACTAAACGAAGACTGTAGGCCTTATTGTGAAATAAACGATACCACACTCTCCGGGAAGCCGCTAATCCTCTAACGCTTTTTAGAGCTAATCTATAAATATAGGTTTACTATATACTCTAGATAGTGGGTCAAGAAAGTAATAGAGCGGTTATAGTATCCGCACGAGGGGTAGAGACTATCCAGACCGCCAAAACTATCGATTAATCCATAATCTAAGACAAAGCTAAGTCTATCGGGGTAGAGAGTTTCTAAAGCTAATATCACTATCTAAGCCGGTCCTTTACAACGTACTAACCCGCGACACCAGAATAGGGTCGTAGTATTTTCTGGTAATAAGTCGATAACGAAGAAGAACCTAGAGATAAGTAAGGTAGTTACTGTATCCTAGGCCATTCGTCCACTACCTACCTAGAGAATAACAAGATCGCGATAGTCCTCTATAGCTTCGATAGCGTTAATAGTATAAGGTATATTTCCTAAAGGTACGTCTAGGCGGTGACTATTACCTTTAACAGAAGTATCCAGATAGCTTCGCTATTTTCGCTAATCGCTATCTATCTCTATAGTTGATATCTATATATCAAATCCCCGGCGTAAGAAACTATCACGAAAGATATAGCGAAAATATAGGGTTTACTTATTAGCCTACGCTTTTCTAGTACCTAGTGATAGTATTCTTATAGAACCTATAGCTATAGGCCAAATTTGGTGCGAGACCCGATATATAATCTCTCCCGCGAAGTTATATCTTAATCTACCGTCCTAGAAGGAACTAATTCCCTATAGATCCGCGGGGGTAAAAAAACTTATAATCTAATAGTGAGCCCTACTTATAGGAAATAATATATTAGATTATATCGACTTATAACGGAGCCGCGGCGGTGGCTTATACTCTAGAACTTAATTAGCGCTAACTAAAGAAAATAGGGTATATTCTTAGCTCCGGCCTATATTCGCCATATAGTTAGTTTATTTTGAGTATCATCTAGATATATAATTTGAAAGTCTAGTCGTATTAGTAAAAGTATGTATGAATATAACCGTCGAACTTACTATTTTCATCCCCTAAGTTATAGGCTATATTAAAGTTACCTAGAACAAAAGCACTTATATTCCTGGAAATACTTGTGGTTACTACCCCGACCTTCGGGCCGGAGCGTTGTAGTCCTAGTAGATCTTCTCGAGTGGCACTAAAAATACGACAACACTCTCTAAAGGCACTTTTTAGGGCGGTATCGAAGACCTACGAATCATAGTAGCTATTATATAGGAGCTATTTAACCTATTTAGCTATATCCCCAAAGATAGATATAAAGCTAAATACCTAGCGAAGTAGTATAGGAAAGATAGAGGGGTATCTTTTATAGAAAATACGATAGGCTAAGGTATTAAATCGCTCTGAGTAATATATAATATCCTATATCATTACGAATAGCCTAAGGGCGATAAGCCTACCTATAATATCCTTTATTAGGTTTCCTGATTCGGAAAAACTATATTTACGCCATAAGGTTACTAACTTACCTAAACTTGTGCTAAGTGCGAGGTCTACCATATCTTATATCGCGTATAGGTATAGATACTCCTACACCAGAAGCAGGAACTCTAACGGAATCACCCCCCCTTACTCCACTACTATCGATAGTAAGGATTATAGGGCTTATAGTCGCTAGAAGGATATCCACTACTAACAGCCTCTAGTAGAGGCAATAGAGATAGCCCTTGATTATAAACTAATACTCTAGCCCGGAGGTAGGGCTTCCAAAAATCTAAGTATAGCGGTCGCACACTATATATCCATATACTAGAATATATTGTGCAGAACGTAGAATATAGACTAGATAAATACGATTACTTCGTATATAACATAACTAACCACTAAAGGACTTAAGTTCTTCTTTACGTAAATTCGCCGAAGAGACTATATTCTCCGAGAATCGCTTATATAAGCGCGAAAAATAAAACTTAACCAGATCACTTTCTTTAGCGGGATATATATTAGGCTATAGTACCTTAGAACTACGATACGCTATAATAACAATAGACCGATACAAAGTTCCAAATACTATATAGGGGTTTATAGCTATCTAGTGTTAGCTTTAGCCTATAAAATATTAAGATAGGACTAACCAAGTATCTTAGGTATATAGTGGTCTAGAAAAAGCGCGGACAAAATGGTGGCGGCTAATCCGGAGAGGGGGAGATTAGTATAGTGGCTAATTTTAAGATAATGCGCCAAATATAGCTTAGTGTATAAACTAATAGGGCGATCCTTCCTCGTAGCTTTCACGAAATCGAACGGATAAGAGATATCCTCTAGAATATATTTAACCGCTACTTGAAATAATACTACTAAATACGTCCTATTCGGCCGAGCTCGGTTTTCTTATCGAATAGAGGAAATAGCGTCGACCTATTCTATGATAGACGCTTTGATTTATTAGAATCTTATGATATCAGAGAAATCATTATCCTATAGGTATAAATATATAGAGCTAGAGAACAACCCAGATAAATCATTATATCCGCTTTCTCGGATTCTCCGGTAGAGTAATCCTAAACCAGATACGCCCTTTTCTTTTATCACCGATAGGCTATAAATAAATATCGCCCTTAGTAAATGTTAGGATAAGAATAAGGACATCGAACGAAGCTATAAACAGCTGACGAGAAAGCTTATAACCTTTTTAAGATAGGCAGCGTTGTCGATAAAGATATAAACTATATCTATAAAGACAAATATCAACTAAGACTATAACACTAGTAGGATTTTGGCCGCTAAATAGTTATTCCAATAGATAGGATAGCCAACGCCGGTATTAAGTCTTTTTGTAGGGTACAATTTATCGGTGCTCGGGATATCACTATCGGCCAGCAATACTAGCCGCCGGCTTTATAAAGAAGCGATATCGTATCGCAATTTTATTAGAGCCTTAGAATCATATCTTTTTATATTATTAAGAGGGTAGAGCCGCTAAAGAGTATGATTCTTCGTTTTCCCGCTAAGGAATATATATAATAATAGATATTACCTATCTTGGTTATATAACTCGGAGACCATATATCGCAGCCGGCTATTGTCTTGGATTATAAATATAGAATCTTCCTAGGTACCAATATCAAGCTAGCTAATATCTATCGAGTTTTGTATAGTGAAGTAAAGATAAAGAATCTACTTCTATTGTGTCTTATAGTACGAGATATTTATATATAAATATTACTCCTTTAAATAACAGACTTATTTTATAACTAGGGTGATAATTTATCAAACAATCTCCTTCTCACCCTATTCTCACCCTATTCTTACCTCGTTCTCACCCCGGCTCTAATTTAACTATATAGATCCCGGACTACGTACTTTTATCTAAGCCCGCTCTCGCCTCCCTAAGTCTAAGAGGCAAAAGTCGAACAATAGGGTACTATAGCCAATAAAGAGCTCCTATTACCTAATAGTTAGTGGCCCTATTAGGAGTCTAGCGCTTAGAGTAGAGAGATATAAGATCTATCTACTGTATCCGAGACCAATTTTTATTCTATACCTCGCCCTAAATATATCTAGTAATAAGTATAATTATAACTACGAAATATCTCTGGCACTTAACGTCCTAGATAGTTCGTATGATCCCTTTTATTATCTTGGCACTAACGAAACAATATATTGCACACAAGTAGATATTGACCTATACAACGTATTAAGCGCTTTTGTTTAGTAGTAGGATATAATTATAGGAAATAACAGTTTTGAGTCTAAAGTGTGCTAGGAAGTGTCTAGGGTCGCTCCTATAGTAGACTTATACCGGGATAGGAGCGATTATAGGATAAGGTAACCTTCCCTAAAGATAGGTCCTAACTAGAGTTAACAAAATAGTAGCCAATCCGATATATTATTATCCTTAAATTTTCCGTAAGGCTTAGGAGAGATTAAAACTATCTTATATATAGATAAAGCCCTATCTATCACCCTAAAGCAATTTACGAGTATAATAAGCTAATTTAGTGTACTCTTGTAAACACTAGGTAATAAGATCGAAGGCCTAAATAGCCGCTTCGATAGTATAGAACGCCGCCTAGATAGTATAGGGAACCGCTTAGATAGTATTAAGTAGAGCATAGACAGTATAAAAGATAGGATAGATAACTTGTCTTAGGGAACGGAAAGCCTAGAGAATAAGGTCAAAGCTATCAATAAGTATCTACTCGAGGTCATAAGGCGAGAATAGATAGTAATAAAGGAATTTAGTGACCTAATAAGTCGCTACCATCAGTAAGAAATATAGCGGGTTACCTAGTACGTTTAATTAATACGCGTCGATATTTCCTAAAAAGAAGCCTAACACTATAATAAGAAAGTACTTAGTAGGTTCCACAGCTTAAGTTCCTTTACCTCCAGCCTATAACCTGAAACATTTGACCAGTCAAAAACAGCCCCTAGCTCCACTCCTAGAATTGGATCCCTAAAGTATCAGGTATTGCTGCTCCGACTTGTGTAGGCGCGCGGTTACCTATATAAGGACGTCTTCTAGGGAGCTAAAGATATCAAAAACCCTTTCTTAGAACTATAAGAGTATCTACTTAGTCTCTTTATACCACTAAAGCTCCGCTCTGAGATAGCCTATCTTATAAGCGGTTTCTTCTAGCTAGGTTTTGAAATCTAGCGATTATCGCTTTACTTATTGTAACCGGGACTATAGTCTCTCGAGATTGGACAATATACCTCTAAGGCATAGAATTTAATAGTCCGCGGGAGTTATCTCCTCGGATATAGGATCGAGACGTTAGCTAGTATATCGACTTATTGTGATTGATCAAAACTGTAATCCGGACTATAGATAAAGGAGTTTCGCCCTTAAGATTAGGAAAGAAATATTGAAGAGATTAAAGGAGGCTTATAGCGGGTTATAATACCGTTCCTAAAAGGACGATTATTGGCATACTCTATCACCCCTTAACGTAAGCGGGGGTGATAGTTAATAGGACAAAATGACACTACCTACGACACAAAAGATATATTAACGTCTATACCATTGTATGGATTTTAATACCCACCTAGGTTCCCCACTCTGTTGCTATAGTTTGCTAGATTTATTTCATCCAATAATATACGAGTGTTATAGTTAGGATCGATATATGAAATACCTCTATAAATACATAATAGTAACGCTTTTATCGATAGATATAATTATCTTTCTCGATATTAGAAGAGAAGAAAGGATTTATAGTTAACTTATCAATCAGGTCAATATAGTAACTACCCAGAATTTTAGGCCTTATTTATAGGCGCTATAAAGGCGCGCAATATCGTTCGTTGCCTTGTAGATATATATATCTACCTCGCACTAACTTATAGCGCACTGTCCTTACCAAGACCTCCGAGTCTCTCTATAGGACACTAAAAATTAGATACGACACTAAAAACAATATAGGGCTTGCAACACTAAATTCTATAAATACTATGGTTAGTTGTGTATCGTTATATCCAACGTGTCTAGGTAACAATAAAGGAAACGAGCCCCTAGGTTATTATTATATAATAAAGGCTAAACTAATTCTTTAAGACATATCTTCTAAAGCCTAATATCAAAATCTAGTGGTAGCTCCGCTATCTACTGCTACTATTCTTCGAGTAAAGCTAACTTTTTATCCGTAGTATATATAATATTTACTAATTCTGTTTCAAAAATCTAGGACAATACGAACACCGCAAAATATAACAATGATATCTTTGTCTTGATAGAGAAGCTATTACGCCAAGACTAGTAGTCAAAGTATTACTAGGGGCTCTTAGAGCTTAGGATCAACAGCGATTCCGTGGTATATCAAAAATTATATATCTATTACGAAAGGTCGCTTTCTAGGATATAGTATCAAAAATTATAGCTTAAGGCTTCACTACGTCATACCACGGAAACCTATCAAGCGTTGTCCCAAAGCCTTTATTTAGAAAGGGACAAAGTGCGAGGGCTCGAGTCCTATCTTAATAAGTTATACCTAGCTATTAATTTATAGCTATAGCGATTAAGTTAATATAAGTAGGAGTCCGGATATATCGATAATAAGGGAATAACGGAGCGTTTTCTACTAGAGAACCAACGTTAGCGAGAGTTAATTAATTGTCTTTAGTCTCTCCTCCACGCACGTGAATAGGCTGTGTAAGACCTTCAGGCTACTCTAGACTAGTTGTCTTAACAACCCCTTAAAGGGAACGCAGGTTAAGGTGGGCTATTTAGGTCCTCTGTTTATTTGTCGGAAGAATCGAATATCGAAATCATCACGGATATACCTTCTACTAAGGGCTAAGGTATTAGATAAAGGATTTCGCGTGCTACGCTAGGTTCCTTAATTTTATTTCCTCCGATTTTATATAAGAATATTCTTTTCTGTTACTAGTAACTAGCCTAAGTAAAGGTCTTAACTAAAAATGGGTGCTATATCTATAGCGCTATATACCTCTAGATACGAAGGGACTATATCTCGAGTTAGTTTATAGTAGATAAAGTTATAGCGTTCAATATTCTGTATTCCCCGAAAGTGAAATTAGGATAGATTAGGTAGCCT